TATGTTGTCTAGACAAACAATAGCAGTAAATTCGTCAAATTTTGCATTTTCACAGACAGGAAAGAGGCTTTACTGAGCTCAAACTAGGCTTACAAGGGTCTAAAACCAAAAGCATCATGGATAAGCGAGCGGGCAAATAAAGTCTGTGCGTCAAAGGAGAATTAACAGGTTTGTGCATTTTATCCTCCTGTTTGTGTCCCGAATCTGTTTGAAACAAATACAGAGCTGGATAAAAGTGAAAAGAAAGACTGTGGATGAAAGCTACATACTTTGCCATATTCAGCACAGACCATCCTATGTAACTTACCGAAATATCGTCACTCTCTATCATCTCAATGACACAGGCCACGCAGAGGAGCAGTCCGCCCCCTTCAGCAGGCCCAAGCCGGCCGCTCCATTTCGGGTCATGTCTGAAGTGGATCTTCTCATGGATAATATCCTCTCCTGACATGTCTGCTGTCCCACCTGTTGGGTCGAAAATACCTAGTAGGCGGAAACGTAGTAGAAACACTAGAGAAAGATATACTTCGGCACGTAAACTTAGCAGGTGAGTACAAATGTTAGCTAGCTCTGGCGTTAGCTACTTCTAACCGTCTTGAAATCAATTGGAGCTCGCGAGCAACAACAGGCGAGACTTAAGTTACAAAAAAAAAACATAAAAAAAAAACAAAAGTTTTTTTTTTATTGAAGCTTGCGACGCTGTATCGTTAAAATACGTCCCTTTACTCATGTAGGCTTAATGTACCATTAATTCAGATGGACAAAACTCCTTTACACTGTCCCGGTTTCTGTAGAGGCTTTTTTTTTTTTTTTTTTTTTTTGCGCCTTTTTTCAATACTTGCCAGCAATGTATGGTGGCCCTGAATGTCACCTGCACTAGCCTTTCGTCACCCAAAAATAAACCAATAAAATTCACGGATTGCAAAATCAACATACTTAACTCAGTATTTTATGAAACACTAAAACATGTTACCTAAAAATATTTCCTAACACTCCAACATTTCACAAAATATAAATCTATTTTTTCAATCGTTTTAAACATAGCAGACATTGCAAAGGAGGACTGGAGCCACATTGAGGAAAAACTTAATAATGAGGTCATAGTATTTTCATGATTTACAGCCCAGTTCAAATATCAGTTTTGGTTTGGGTGGCTCATTTCTTTACAGCAGTTTACGTGAAAATAAATTCACCCCAAAAAAAAAAAAATAGTAAACTAATCTTGAGTTTTGGGCATTACCTCACACCAAAACAGTGTTTTACGTGGCCGAACTGGAATAAGTTTCCAGATTGAAATTGTCTAAAAATGCCACCCCTTCTGTTGCTGTGTAAAATAGCAACATGATAAAAATAATGACATCAAGCTCCATACCCCCATTCTCAAGTTAATATTACATTCCCAGTCAATTAGCCATGCAATGACAACAGTGGTTGCCTACTGAGCTGTGTTCATGCTGCTGACTCTACAAAGTTTATCAAAGCTTTCCTACAAAGTGTAGACATGCCACACCATTATTGTGACCTGCAGCGACCAGTTGAAAAACACCTTTAAGTGCAACCTGGTGCTCTACAGAGTTATACCATCAACTACTGGTCTGCATGCAAACTCCAGTATTTTCAGTGTTTTTTGTGGGGCTCCATGTGCATATTTTGTCACAATGGATTTTTTTAAAAACACAAAGGAAAGGCTCACAACTTGCCTTAACTTTTCCCTTTGTCTTTTTTTAAGTTGACAAAAAGTGAGTTTAAGTTCAGCTAGGTTCAATTAAGTTCAGTTAAGCCTTCATCAGGCTTCAAACCATCCTCAGAAACCATGACGGCAGTGACATGCCTAAGACTACATCCACGTCTTAGATGGTTTTGGGTATCACCCTCCAAGAAATGTCATTGCTAAAAAAAAGTGTTGAGTGTACTGATAATTTCATTTTTGGAAGAATCATCTTGCAATGAAGGCCACAGTTTGGTTATTACCATGACAACAAAGGCTTCAGGGTAAATGAACTGCTATTCAATGATGGTGTGTGAGGGGGAGAGTTATCAGCCGCTACCAACTTGTCAATTTATTATACCTCTCCTTTGCTCCTTAACCAGAGTTCACTGCACATCAAAGTAGTGACATTAAGTGCAGCCAGCTCAGCTCTGCTTCAGTGTGAGTGTGTGTTTCTGTGCAATGATGAGTAGGCTAATCTTCCATAGTGCAGTATGTGTTGCCTTTGACATATCCGTTGTGCCCCACAGAACACATTGGCAAAGTATAGGAAGTTGTCAAAGCCTTCTTCAACTGATTGAAAAGGGTTGCAGGTGGAAAACATTTGTATTTAAAGTAATTTGCACTGCTATAGGAGCGAAATCCATCATCTTCAAAGGCTTATTGGCCCCTGAGAGATGCAGAGAGCCCTTCTCACTGCTCAGGTAGGAGCTAGTGCATATCAGTCAACTTTATTTGACAGCTATTCACACAGACATTTCTTCAGGGGCCAATAAGACAGCAGAAATGGACTCACCTTCTGTCCAATAACCGGAGAGGCTACATACACACATTTTTCACATCAGACCAGGGTCTTTGCTTTTCGCTCATCTGGCTTGGTGTTTCTGAAACCACTTCCTGTACATATCACCTCCTCCACACACGCACGCACGCACACACACACACACACACACACACACACACACACACACAAAGATGAGTCTTCAGTGTAAAATAATCAAGTAAGAACAGATAAAGGAAAAAAACATCTTTTTATTTTATTTACCATTTACTCAGCGTGCAGCAGTTATCAGTTATCAGCCTAAATACAGCTGTATACCACCAACCACAACTTCTCTTTGATCACATGATAGTTTCCACTGGTGATGACATTTACAAGTCAAGCAGAAGCCACTGCATTTTTATAACGGTAATAATGACTAATACGCCCATACCAAAGCAAATACTGCTGGTTAAACAAATTCAATATTGTGCAACTTAATTTATGAGAAAGATTATATATGGCACTCAAAAATGATATTAAATCTCTTAACTGTTGGTTGTAAATAAACCATTGAAGTCTACAAATAACTTACCATACTATAGCTACTTATATAGCTATAGTATGCTATAGATACTGATATAGCATTCTATATAGCTATAGAACATTATTGTAAGTTGTTTTAAAAAAGTTCTGTGCTGATAAATGCAGGGGCTGATACAAAGGGCTCCCCTTAATACTGATCCACTGCCATAGACCTTATAACAAAGATACAGTACAAAGTCTCAGTGACATCCCTCGTTTGTTTTCTGAGGTGTTACAAAGTCTTAAAAATCTTTGTGCCAGGAGATGTCAAGCCTTCACCAACAGATATCTATCAATGTAAATTCTTTTGCACACAAGAACCACTCTCCTCTGAATTTTCCGGCTGGTGCATTTGTTGGTGCCATACACTATACACAAAAACACATGCATAACTATTATGTCTGTCCTGTACAAACTGTTGAAAGTACTGTGGAAACATGAGGGTGCAAGATTGCAGCCTCCATAGAGGGAGACAACGTGTTTCTACGTTGCAAGTACTTCAAAATGTAGAAGATTATTTTGCGCAGTAATTTCATAAGAGATGTGCTCAAGGAAATCTGGCCATGTAAAAAATATATTGGTTGGCAATGCTTGAGTGAAGCACTTAAAGGTGGGGTAGGCAGGATTCCGTTGAATAAAGCAACTTTTTTTGTGGTGTTTATACAAGAAACACTTTTAATATCAGTCAATAGCTATTAGTTATTGATGACATTTGGTAATATAACGATATCGCTGTGTTCTGTTATGTCTGTGTAGTCAACATTTTAATTTTTTTGAGCAGCCCGCTCTTTCTGGTTGTAAGGCAGACGCTGCTCCCCCATGTCGTGAGGCACGCTCCATGTCCTCAAATAACATTCACGAGCCCAAACAAAGTTAGCTTGCTACAATATCGGACAGTAGAAAGCAACCAGAAAGTACCGAAAATTGTCTGAATCCTCTTTAGGCCACAACTACCAACACAAGCAATAAAACGAAGTAAATAATGAAGACTCTGGTGGAATAAGGGGCGCTTAAAGGTAGACCGGACAAGAGCTAAAAAGTTGATGGGGGATGCTTCGGGATCTTACAGACCCTGTAACCTTTCTGCTGGACAGGTAAACCACTTAACCAAAGTCAGCCGACTGTCTGTAACTGAAGTGTTTCTTGTCAAACAGGACCTGCTGCGTGTCATAGTGCCGCTAAACTGTTTATTTCGGGTCCTGGAGTATGACACTTTATCCTAGTTTTAGAAGTCCTGCAAACATTGTGTTTGCTGGAAGTCTGTTGGCATCCACAGTAGCACCAACTCTTTCTACTTTCATATGGACTTGGCCCCATTTGTAATTAGCTGAAGTATTTGTCTGCATTATATCTGAATTTATTTAAAACGATAAGAGTAAGGACGAGCGTCTGTTTGTGGGTGAGGCTGGAGGAGGAGCTGAGGGGAAAACTGGTTGGGAGGGGTAGTGTTTACATTCAAGATTTCTCCCCAAAACGGGCAGTTCCTCAGATCCTGCCTACCCCACCTTTAAGAGCAAGACTCAGGACAGAGGAATATTTCAAGGATCATTAAAAAAGTTTGGAAGATTTTTATGATGCTAATCTGTTGTTATACATAATTGGAAAAAAAAATACAACATTTGAACAAAGTTTCAAGGCATTGATTACAGAAATAGGATTAGTGAAGACAGAAACTATGCATAAATGTGTAATTCATCAGTCTGTGCCCCAGTCCAGGCACCACATGCATGAACGTCTGGTTACGCCCCTGGTTAAATGACGTGCAGTAGGAAGAGGGCGGGGCGTGGCAGAGGACAGCGTGTTTGTGGTCGCGCGCGCGTGAGTGTGACGGTAGAGCAGTAACTCTGTGGAGTTGAACTGTCAGGTGAGCTTCACTCCAAGTTAGTAAACTCCTGAAGTTTTCACGATGGATTGTATTTGACCAAAGATTAAAAATCATCGAGGTGCATGCTGGAAAAAAAGTGCTGCCTAACGGTAAGAAAAACTCCTCATTTGTCATAAAGTTACAGAACTTTATGTGTTGCGTTCATGATCACCTGTTGTACCCCCATACAACTAATGGAACTTTAAATTCCACTGTATCGTCAAATTAACTTTAATGTGGGATACTTCTTGCATTTTCTGCATGCTTGTTTCTTTTTCAGTCCAGACACGTCTTTACCAACACTAGCCTCTGGCATTTCTGTAATAGAATAACTTATACTAACCTTATACGCGCCACATTTTACCTTATTCAAAGGCTTCTTGGTGTTGTTGAATAGCGCGCAGAAACATTTAAATGACTTCAGCTGTGGGCTCTTATTAACCAGGCATGCTGAAAAATCCATTTGTGACATTAATTTAGACTGTGCCAATTCCTGTCACTAAAAATTTCATAAGACACAAACTGAAGTGAACAAATTGTACTTTCCTTGCAACAAATGTTTTTGATAATGAGTGACGGCCCTGCGGTTTATTTACACAAGCAATTTTGTGCATTTCATCCTGGGGATTAAGATATTAGTCATCAGAAGTTTCCATCCATGGCTGAATTTATGAGCTATTGCATTTAGAAGAAAGACAAAACAGAAAGTTGATTTGCAAAAATACACCATACTCTGCTCTCAGCAAGGGCAACACTACTGAGAAACAAAATCACCACAACCTGAGGGACTGATATGCAGCAAAACCACAATGAGTCCTCAGAGTATGTCTATTCATGGGACAGTGTAGGTTGTATCTGAACGCAACTGACACCTAACTTTGCATGTATGTGACTATCATAGTCTGAGCGCAGTTTACAAGTAAGGGCCCTTAACACTTATTTAAAAGTCTCAGGAATTATGATATGAATAATTCAAAGATTTTAGTCCTTAATATGTACAAGCACTCCTCTTTTTATTTGTGCAAAGTCTTTTCCAAGGTGACACTTGAACGAACTGAGACTTGATAAAATATTTTTTCAAGTCTACACGTATTACTAAGTCAAGTCAGCAATTCATGATCAAAATGAAGGCCTTTTATCCGCCATAATTTTTGGGGTTCTTAAGAGAATAAAAAGAAGAACTTAAAGCTCCTGCCAGGGGCAAGAACAAATATATTATGTTTTCTTTTCTTTTCTTTTAAAGGTGAAATTTATCGCTCTCTGTGAATATTTAAAAAGCGTTGTATCATTGGCGCAGTGTAAATGATCTCATCTGACACCTGCCCTCTTGTGGTGTTTTCAGGCATTAATAATTTCAGTATAGGCTTTTAAAATTTACATATGTAAGTGTCTGTCTAGTTGTGTATGGTGTTGTTTGCTTTTGTAGGTCGTAAAAAGGAATGAACTTTAGTCTTTTTTGTTGCAAGTTAAAAACTTTTCTCAGTAACTTTAAAGCTCTTGTGAGGAATTTTTTGATGTTTATGAAATAAACTGAAACTCATACCAATGCCTTACCATGACATCAAAAATCAAACAAGACCATCAGCAACAAGATTGATGATTTTTCTGTGTTGTGATTTCATGAGCCTAAAACTTGTGTGCGGGGTAGGTATCAGCTGAGCAGCTGAAGAAACAGCTCTTTTGCTTATACTAATTAACAAAAGATGAAATTCCTGAGCTTAAATAAACATGTTGATTAAAAGAAAATACAAATGGCTCAGTAAATATTGCATGAGGGATCTCTGTATTTCTGTCTGGCTATATGCAATTATTGCATATGGCCATATGATAATCTTAGCCTGTCATGTGTTTTAGATGGATTATTGACCTTCATTAAAAAGAGAAATACACTGTGTTGTGCTATAGACATCAAAATATGATTGTTATTTATTGTAAGATGCAACATTAACCTTATTATTCACATTATAAAAGAATTAAAATTCAACATAAAACAGTAACAGTTTTGGATTTGATATACTGTCTTTTGGGGAGAGAAAACATGTTGTCTTTTAGGAAAGGTGATTGTGGCATTGGACTTGTGAAGGCCACTGCCAACATGATGATTGTAACTGATAGGCCCTACTTGTCGTTTCTCCACCAAGTGGGCTAGGATGACCCACTTTGGGATTCTGGATACTGATGTAATATTTCAAAAATTGGATAGAATCGTGAGAGTTATTGTGGTAGACTCCAGGGATATGCCAAAGCTTTAAAAAACTGAAAAGTTAATGATTATAGAGGGAAGCCAAGAAGGTTGTCTTCTTTTTTTCCCTGTTGGTTTCTGTCTCAAGATGTACCCTGATTCATTTAAGACATTTTACTTAACCCTTGGCACCAGGGAGTGTAGTTGGAGACAGGCCCTGGGGGTTTGCGTCATTGTCAGTAAGCTAAAAGAAGACTTTGGGTTGTGAAAAAATTTAGGAACTTCTTTCCAACTCCTTTAATTTATTTATTTAGTAAACTTTATATTGTTTGAGTATATTCCTTTAATAGGAGATAGGACAGTAGATAGAGTAACCTTGCACTTGTCAAGGACACCAGCTTTTTGCAATGGGTGCATGATTTTACTACTGAGTTGCATTGGCACTGCAAACTTGTCTTGTTTTTGGAAATTATACCAGCATGAAACCATGTGATGTAGTGACTGAGATGTCCTTTAAAGCTCTAGAAAGGAATTTTTAGTTTGTGTAGATTCTGGTGCCCCCTGTGGACAAAGTTATTTCATATATTTCTGGTCCAGTTACGTATGAGAAGCATGTTTTCAGGTAGAAATCTTGTTGTGTTGTTTTTTAAAAGTGAAATATATCACTTCTTGTGAGTGGTTGCCTCAAAGGCAAATATTTTAGCCTGCTGTCAATCATCAGGACTGACACCTACCCCGTCATAGCAGCTTCAGACAATAAAATCTACAACAGAGATACTCAAAGTCACGTTTTGGTCTTTTGTTTGCTTTTGAGACATAAATAGGTTTCAGTATCAGTAGCTGTATGTTACTCTTCTAGTAAAAAACTACTCACTGCTCAAGATGCAAGATATTATCAGCCTAATATGAATCATAAAAGTCAAACAATTCATTGTCAGAATGTAAAAACAAAAAACGTGCTGATACTGCAGCCAATATTTAGCATAAATTATGTGCAGGCAAAAATGGCTAATGTCAGCTAACATCGAGAGACTTTGTGTTTTTTATGATAATAAAAACAGTTAATATCGTCTTTATGATATTTTTGATAATTGTATATGAGTAGTAGATAGGTACATATGCTACAATCATGCTTTTGATATAAATTTATGTTATTTTGGTTGTAAAAAGTCGTGAATTAGATCTGTTAAAGGGAGCAGAAAGCCCAGCAAACAGTCCTCTTTCCTCCGGGTGTTTTGCCTTTTCCTCAAAAACTGAAGCTAATCTCCTTCTGATCTGTTCCATCAGCACTTTCCACTACTGATGTAAGAAATAATAAACAAACATGGGCACCAATAACAGTGACTGGTGTTACCATTATACAGTAATTCCGCGTCCCCTCATGTAGACAGACATGCAGGTACTGTTCGAGCCAGTGAGTCACACACAGTGAGGGAGCAGACACAGTGTTGACACTGAGAGGCCACAGCATTGTATCCAGGTGTATTCTGTCCTCAGCTTGCACTAACCAGGGGGGGTATCCACTTCCACACGAGGACAGAGGACTCCTCAGTACGCCGGGGTTTGACTTAAAAGATAGGATTAAAAAGAACACTGAAATCTGAGGCCTCTTTTAGATGGAGGAGAAAGGGACTCTGAAGTTTGTGTAGCCCTCTTCACAAAGATGCTCTTCAGATATGAATGCTGGAGGCACGTAAGCTGAAGCGGTGTGCAAATCACTCCAAACTGAGAAAAAGAGAGCTGAAAAAGAAAGACAGTGGCGAATAAAAAGAAGGCAAAAAAAAGCAGACTACATTTTGCCTCAAGTGTTGAGAATAAAACTGTAGGGTGAGGGTTTCAAGCACAAAAGTGACTGATTGTACCTTTGAAAAGGTGATGAAACTGATAATGAACCGTCATTACTGCAGAGGCGGCGATGGATTTTGAACTTCGATATGATTTTATGGGGAGACTCGTATTTCTGATAATTTGGGGCTCTTACATTAGATTGCTTCTCTCCAGGTAATTAGATAGATGAGACAGGCGCTTTGTACGCTGAGAGACTTCATTCAGAGCAAATATAACCTGTGTTACACAAAAAAGAAAAACAAATGGGAGAATAGTAAGAGGCATAAAAATAAATGCGTCAGGGCTTTTTTTTCATCTACTGGGCACAGGCGTTGTAACTTTTATCTATTTATCCACCCACTACTCAGCTCAGGCTCACCCTGCAAGTCACCAGAAAATTGCTTTCACTGCAGAAGAACCTGTGAGCCTGACTGTTTATCCTGTTTTTTTTTTTCTCACCCCATCCCTGTTTTCTCCTCATCCAGGTTTCTAATGACTTTCCCTCTTCCACATGCTTTCTTCATACTCCCGTTCTCCTGTTTTTCTGTCTTAAATTGCCCTTTTTCTAGCCCATCTTCCCTCCATATTTCTCCTACTTTAGCTTTAGGGTAGTTTTCTTTCTTTCTATGAACTAACCACTCCATCACTTGGCTTACTATTCCTGCCATCTCTTTGGCTATCCTCTCTCCTCTGTCCTCTCCTGTCATGTCTGTATCCATGAGGAACCCTCCCCAGCGCCGGCGCTCTCTGGGTCCTGTCTCCCCCAAACGCATCTATAGAAACCTGTCAGTCAGGCTGCGGGGAGGAGAGTCATCGGTTACCGGGGAGACAGATACACCCAAACACCTCAGCAAGTCTGCAGATGCTGTAAGATATTACAAGTTTGTAATGATTGACTCAGCTCAAGATGTATGATTCACTATGCTAAGTTTAGCGTACAATATGTATGTATTTTTGGGAGTGTAAGTAAACCAGTTGATGTCATATATGTAGAGAAAAGGTAACTCATCAAATTGTTATATGTGATGTTTTATCTTCAGTTTGACCACTTTACACTTGGGTTAATATTACCAATGCTTTTATTTTACAGGTTGTAAAAAGTTCTTAACCCTTTAATGCCTGACACCACAAATTATAGCCAGAAAATTTGTTGTTTTTTTTTTTAGCTGAAATGTTTATTTCACTTACTACTGAATACCAAAACAATCAAAATGTCCTTAAAATTGAACAAATATATTTATTTATCTCGTTTGATACATTAGATGTTTTTGGAAACTAATAAACAGGGTGTTTTTTTGTAATTTGTTGATCATATTGATTTGATATAGGAATATAAAAGTATGTATTGAATATGATACAAAAGACATTAAAGGGTTAACTTTGTAATCATAATTTTTGAGGGTAAATGTGACAGCTGAAAGAATTATCATTAGTGAAAGAACACTGGTTGTATTTGCAAGGGGCTTAAAGATGATCAAGAAGAATACAGTAAAATGATTTTGCTTGTCATATATTGCTCTGGTTAAGTGGTCATATACCAGATTAACCATACACAGTCTTCATGCAACTTTATCTTCATTTTCTTGATCACATTGCTCTCAAACTATGCCACACTACAAGATTCTATCTGTCATCTGTGCTTGTTTACATCTGGATAGTAGAGCATTATAGCAGTAGCCTTGAACCTGCCACAATCCTGGCAGGTGCCAAGTGGCTGTTTAGTATATTAGTAGCTACATATGAGCATCCAAGACCTATAATTATAAAACTAATAGTAGTTTGTTCAACTGACTCATAATTTTAGTGAACATTTAGCGCTGAGGTCAGACTGTGTGTTTTGACCACCATTACAGCCCAATTCAGCAGACGTTAGTTTCAGAACTCATCTGTCTCGAAAATGTAGGAACTCTTCAACTGGTGCTTTCCATGACAGAAGAGAGTAATGACGTCCAAGTGCACGGCAGATAGCGCCCTCTTCTGTTTCAAAGGGATGTCGCATTACAATTAACACTTGACCAATCTTAATCATTCTTTATGTCTACAGATTTCTAACCTTTCTAGTGAGGTACCATTACATCTCTACTTTTTTAGTGCTCAATTTGGCTAAAGTGCTCTCCTGTCCTCTGGCTGGGTTGTTTAAAGTTATGAGAGCTCATCCTGACATTTGGTGCTGACTCTGTTACTATCAATGCATTATCCAAGGCGAGACTACACCTCTGATTTATGATAAGATTTATGAGCCCTATTTTACAGTCTTGTCCACTGTCTCTCCCTGCACAGCAGCTCCCTTCCCTCTACTGAAGTAAATAAGCCTCTTATTTTGATATAAACTCTCTTCTTTTGTCTTGATTCCCGCAACCGCCCCCGCACACTGACCTTGCACCCTTTCCCCTGCTCCCCATTAGTACAAGTCCCTGTGGGAAGCTGTGGAAAATGAAGATACTTTGGCTGTGCAAAGCCTGCTGTCCAGAGACCACACCAACTGTGGGGGAGGTGGAGGAGGAGGAGGAGTAGGAAGCATGTGGGAGAGAGGAGAGAAGAAAAGCAAAGACTGGGAGAGAGAGAGAGAGAAGGGGGTGAACAGGGTGAGCGATCAGGGCCTGGTCCCTCTGGATGTCGCCGCCCTTACCCACAATTCCCCTCTGCTACATGTGCTGGCAAAGGCAGGAGCCAGACATAACCCTGTTTGTGAGTGTTATGATTCCAGACATCATAAAAACATCCAATGTTTTATGCTTGGCTTTAATTCAATGCAAATTATATTCATAATCTCTTCTTTCTGTTGCCATCTGGGTCTTTCTTTATTTCCTGTCAGTGTGCCGACCAGCAGAGTGGGAACTCAAGCTGGATGCTCTAGTGGCACTGGCAGGTAAACGGGTGGAGGAGAAGAAGAAGGAGTTGCTGAGGAAAGTCGGGGTAGGGCCTCAGGCACAGGCTGACGTCCACAGACACATCCATCTCTGGAGCCTCAGGCTGCAGCTGTACTGCAGAATGAGAGAGAATTTCCAGAACACAGGTCAGTTTTCTAGGGTCAGCTTGTGGCATTTCTTTGACGACAGACTCAGACACAAACAAGGTCACACGCCCTTCGTTTTCTAACTTTTTTTTGAATGGTATTCTCTCTGCTTTTTCTGTCTTCTTTGAACTCAATCACAACAACTATCGTTTTCTCAGCTCTCCTCTCCTGACTTAATTTTGACACTTCCTTGCTACTTTAACTTTCCCTTGAGTCTCTCTTTACTTATCTGAAATTAATACTCTGGCTTGCCATCAACATATCCACGTTTTACATGCCCTACACTCCCTCATCTAAATGTCACTGAATTCATACAGCAGATTCAAAGTCCACAAGCTTTAGAAATTCTGCATCACTTTGCTTCACCACTGTGGCTTCACTTTTTTGCACTGACCTGCCCCCCCAACACCAAATACTCCAAAATGTCATCTGCCTTTTAAATAATTATGTGATTTAACTCCCTCTGTAATTGTTCTAATTGCTCTGAATAAAACCCTCTACTTAGCTCTTATTTGATTTCTGTTTCTCTCACTGTCAGCTCTCTTCCCTGACTGTTTTACAGCCACAGTATTATTGCTAGAGCAATATGGCACTGCACCTCTTCGTTGGGCAATACAATTAAGCCCTCTGTTACTACAAATTTCACTATGAAAGACTTGGAGATAAAGGCTTGAAATGTAAAATATTGATCGGCTTTTGCCTACAGGCCTATGACTTAATCTAATTATTCAGGGTCATGGCTTGGCTCATAGTTACTGTGGTTCAAACTGGAGAAATTCATCTTTGACAGAGCTGCTGCTGAGGCTTTACAGAGTTTTATTATGATAAATATGACACAGAACATTTCAATACATTATGCTATGATAATGCACAGTATGACACAAAACAATATGAGATAATGTGATACACTTGACTGTCCCCTCAGGAAATTTGTCTCATGACTTCAGGAAGGATGTGTAGTCAGCTTAACATCCTTGTTATTTTGCACTAGAATTACAGTCCATTTAACAAGTCATTCATGTTTTTATAAGTGTAAGTAGGCCTGGAGTGTCAGTCATATATTATGTCTAAGCAAGTAGTGCAGACGCCTTCTACTTTCCAGGGCTGTAATTCAATTCACTTTCATTTGTGTGGCACATTTCTTACAAACAGACTCACTCAGTGTGCTTTACAGGATATATAAAAACAAATATAAATGAAATTATCAACACAGAACAGTCAAAGTATTTATAAAACACTATAATGCCATATGCTATAATGGTGCTGTAAAGCTCTACTACTCGGATGTACATAAGCACAGATGAAAAACTGCATCTCGTAGTGCAGTGTGGTTTGATAATGAATATTATTAAATGAATTTTGCTCAAGTTGACCTTTCTTGAAGTTAAACAAGAGGATAGGACAGAAGAGGAGGCAGAAAACTTAAAGAGAGAGAGTGGGGAATGATTTGTGATCAAGGTGGATGAAGGACTACAGCCTCTATACGTACATGGAGCTCACAATTCAACCATATGGCCAAACTGGTTCTCTCTGACTGTTTTCAAAGCTTTTTCTGACATTTAGACTTGTTGGTTGGCTGGAATTTAAATTTTTTGTTTTGTTTACAAGGAGATTAGTCATGTTGAAACAACCCTAGACTCTAGTGCTGCGCAGATTTAGCAGCATAAACACAACATAAACAACTGAAAAAGATGAAAATGTCATGATGCTTTTTCACAGCCTCTGCAGCCTCCAGTAAAATTATTAAAAACTTTGATTGAGGCTGGCACAAATCGGTTCTTTTAAAAAGTTTAGTTTGAGTTAGAGCTCTGTATCATCTGCCAGATGGTGAAAAGCTCCTACTCAGGGCGGAGGAAGTGGGATGGGTCAGACAATACTCTCTGCAGCTGCCCTGAAGCAGACTGCTGATTCCTTGGGAAACTTTTCACTGTAATATAAGATGTAATCAGGTCAGGGCACAGGGTCAGTTACAGAGCAGTGCTGAGGCTGAGGTCCAGGAAAACAACATTTATACAAGACATTAAAATGGCAAGACTCAATACAGTAATAAATGAACTTTTCTGTTTTTGTTGTTTCGAATCTTGTTATTCGGTGTTATTAGTTCTCATTTTGCGTACTGTTCTGTCTTAATGTTTTACATAGAGCTTCCAGGCCCTCCCAGCCACGTGTCCATTGTGGTGACCAGCTTCTCATCTCTGTTTTTGACAATCAAAGAGCCTGAAGGAAACACCATGGGGCTCATCACTCGATACAGAGGTAAGTGGAGAATAACAAAACTTTGATTTTTCGTGGATGGAACAATGATTACATAGATTTTAGTGGAACAGGAGATGTGACCAAAACGTGAACAAAGATATGATAGATCAATAAAGAATAATAAAGTCAAGGCCTTGCACATCAATAAGGCTGCAAGGTCTCATAGTTTTGCTCCCTGGTTTCAAAGCTCTAAATGTGATTCTGTGCAGCTAAGGAAAGAGTGAGCCTAGGTGCAGCAACTTCCCACAACTGTAAACAAAGAAATCCCCAGTCCCCCTATTGAAGCTCCTGTAAATCCACAGAATAATCTTTCAGTAAGATTGTTTTGTGTTCTCAGTGGAATGGAGCACCTCAGCGAACTTCAAACGCATCCTCGGCTCAGCACAAGTTACAGAGACAAAGAACCCATCCCACAGTATAAAGGGACTCACGGCAGTAAGTAAGACACATAAGCACACAGTATAGCACTCACCAAGTTTGTTGTCGTGGTTTTTACTAACAATACACACACCTATATACCAGCAATCACACATACTCTAGCGGTTTAAGGGTATGCAAATTAGCACACAAATTACATCAACTCCTATTTATACACAGATTGTATTTATCGCTCCTCGTTCAACATCTACTCACCACTTACTGAAAGAGAACCCTCTCAACCACCTTACTTAACCAGATGAATTAGTAATGAGAACAGCATGTGTTTTATTTGCCCTGGAATGGATGATTCGGGAGGTTAATGCACGGTGATAATTTGGATGTCTGGTGCCTCTCCAACTGTAGGGAGTGCATTACTTTGTAAGAGTGAGTGCCTTCAATGTGAAAGGATGGGGGCCCCCACAGTGCTCCACTCCAGTCAGCGCTGCCCCCTCCAGTGAGTATCCTGAACTGCAAACTTTGATGAATGTGGGTGTCACACTCTGACATTTTTTTTTTCTCTCTGTGCCTGTGTAATGAAATTATTTTGCTGACATCTAGCCTGATGTGAAAAAGTGGGATCCACTCATGGCTGGTAGATAACAGAATTATGAAAATATGGAGAATTAAAGATGTCACAGGGAATCAATCCTCTTTGTACTAATGCTACTGTAAGTTTGAATTTTGCACATAATCTTTCTAGCATGCCATCTACTCTCTCTTACTGTAGCACTTGATGTTAGATTGCAGTGATATTAGATTTACTGCAGTTTGTTTCTACAGTAAGAAATTAAAACAAAACAACAACGTAAAAAACAAATTAAGATTCAAAAACTGCCCCAATACCTTAAGAGTCAAGACGCTGCTGAATATTGATGAAAACAAAGCAGTGCAAAGACTGAAAGTCAAAAGCTGAAAGTGAATACTATTATTGTTTGACGTGGACAAAAAAGCACTGAAAAAGTTGTGCAATGCTGTAAAAACATCCAGAGAAATGTCTTCTTAGGTTAATTTTCAACAGGTTGGTAAGATATTTATGAAAAGGTCCCTCCAGACAGGCTGAGTCTCTCAAAGATGGGAAGAGGTCCACCACTTTGCGAGTTACCAGGAGAGGAAATAGTCCAACAGTTTCAGGATAATGTTCAACAATGCACAACTGCAAAGAATTTGAGGATTACGTAATCTACAGTACGTAATATCATTGAAAGTTTCAGAGGATCTGGAGAAATCTCTGAGCTAAAGGGACCAGTAACTGATACTAGAAGACCATGCCCACAGGCAGCACTTGCACACTAAAGTGGAAATCACTACATGAGCTCGAAATCCCATCCAAAAACCATTGTCTGTGAACACAGTTTATCACTGAATCCACACATGCAGGTTAAAACAGTACCATGTTTTGTATTTTGTATGTCAGAAACAAAGATGTGGTGGTGGGAGTGATTTTTATCATGTTGCAGTGATGGCCTAGTAACTTTGCTCAGCTAAAACTTTCTTTCTAACTTTGAAGGGGATGTACTTTTTAGTAGGTCAGAGTGAATCAGCACCCAAACTTTCCGAGTCACAGCGCACAGATGGTCTCTCATGCAATCTCTCTTGCTTCCTAATCACCATGATAAGAAAAAAAGCAGCACTCTGGGCTCTTCTGCAAATGAGTTCTTGATGTCTTGAATGATTTTACCTAATTGCCTAAAAATTAAAGTGATTATTTTTTTCTCGCTGTTTTGTTTTTTTGTTAGGTTGGAGAGAGTGCATCGGTGTGAAATCACAGCTCAGAAATCATGAGGGACTTGTGAGGAAGCTGCTGGAGGACGCCAGAGAACCAACTTATAGGGGATTCTGTATAGGTAACACAGGTTTTTTTAAGGTTATTTTGGGGGCTTTTCATGCTTTTACTAAGAGAACAGGACAGTCGATAGGAAAGGAAAGTGGATGGAGGGAGTTGGGGATAACATGCTGCGAAAGGTCCCAGCTGCCAACTAAAAGGACTTTAGCCTAAGTCCATATCATGAAAAAGGAAGCAAATTGATTCAGAGTACCCATCATCTGAGTCTGACTCAAGTTCTTATTACATCAGAGTGTTTCTGACATTGATAAAACTGACAGAATTTCATATTGATGCCCTTATATGACAAAACACAAGTGATGAAAGAAACTGTGGTCTTAAACTTCTGGTTTGATGCAAAAACAGTTGCAAGGAGGTAGGTGTCACTAGAGAAAAAACTGCATTTCCCACATGAAATATTCTTGAGAAGTGAAACCTTCGACAGTCAAACCTCAGCAATATTAAGGATTTTTTTCATCAAAAATCACCACGTATGCATGTAGAGGACAGGAGAAGCATAGTCTGCTTTGTCCACAGGGTGGCGCCAAAATCGACACAAACTGAACGTTCCTCACAGGAACTTGAACTGAAAAAAATCTTTCCAATTTCTTTTTATAGCACATTTTAGCAAAAAGGCAATTCAAAGTGCTTTACACAGATGTTTGAGGAATCATCACAGAGGTCACAAAACCATTAAAAGACAACACGTAGAATCATTAAAAAACAGCAAAAACTGGAGGTTAAAAAACAGTCGATAAAAAAACAATAACACAGTAATGTTGATTTGTTCATATTAAAGGACTATGTTAGACAATCCTCTGGACAAGCAAGTCTTATTGACCAGCCAGATGCAGAGTCACAAACTGGTTTTGTCTTAGTTGAAATGAATTCTGTACTTAATTCACCTCAGAGCGTCTTCCCAATGATTAAAACTAACTGATTGGTTTGGAAGAAAAAATGAATAAACTCAAGAATAAATAATCAGAAAACAGTGCTTTAATTTTAGTTGATGGTTAGCCTGTATTTTTATTTGGAAAGAGAGATTAACTAAAGAAGCTGTCATTGCTAAGATTGGGAATATGAGGCATCTTGTGGAGTTGGACTAAAGTCAGGGTTTGATAGATAACTGAGTATTTGATCTTAAAGTTCATTTGCACCACAGTTTCATAAAAATCTAAATAGTGCAGAACAACTAGTGAGTATGAGATCACTTCTGTAACCTCTGTTAGTCCTCAGGTGTTGAGTTAAACTTCATAAGAGGATCCATGTTTCTCATTTAAGTGATATCTTCTGTAATATTATTTAACACTCACTGTTGTGTAGATTAAATGAAGCCTACAGTTATGACTGCTTTTTCACAAGAATGCAGCTTAATTCTCATGAGATTATTATCTTGTTAATGTAACCATTTTCCTGGCATGAGTTCGTTTTTAAAATGTGTACTCAATTTAATCTGGCCGTTATCCTCTGTCCTTCATGTATTTAGGTTGTGTCTGTATTCTCTCTTGTCTGTCACTTTTTATTTTCACAGTAACATGCCACCCCCAGAGAAAAGAAAAGCAATTAAGCAAAGTCCCAGTTTTCCTCTATAACTGCTGGTTTGACTCCTGGCGACAACTGTTCGCTGCATTACTTCCCCTCTCTTTACTCCTCATATTTCAGGTCTTTCTCTCGGCTGTCCTTGTCCGATAAAGACAAAAAAAACAACCACCCCCAAACAAACAGCTCAGATGCATTAGTGTTACTTAGTGAAAGATCTACTCAAGCTGGGGGCTGTTTATAGAAGCAGCATGCTTGTATCATTTGTATAAACTTTTTTCACCCCAGGAAAAAAAAAGTCCCTCCATCATGCAGCCAAATCTGTGTTATATGCACAGTGAATGCACTCAGGCAGATGAAGTGATTCTCATCCGGTCTGATCCTCTCCTCCTCCACTCCACAGAGAGCTCTAAGCCCCAGAGTCCCAGCAAGCGTCTGTCTGTGTCCCGAGGCATCAAACAACTGTTCCAGTCTGCCACCAAGTTTGTTCGTCTCCTACAGAGGTAGTGCTCCATCTGTCTTACCTGTCCCTTTGTGTCCCGAGGGGGCAGGGGGTAGCGGATTAAACGTGACGTGATTACAGCGTCGTGGACTACAAAGCAGGAGTCCAGAGTCGTACCTGTCACAGTTATTGAAAAGAACAGTTTCATAAAAGCAGCTGTAGGCTTCAGATTAGAGGAGAGCTCTTGAGAGGAGGATGATGTTTAAAATCACTGGACTGTGGAAAGTGGCACGTGGCTGATCAAAGCTTCACACTGCTACAAGCATTCAGTGGACCGCACTCTCAATACAGCAGTGAAAAGTGGATAAATGGTGCAGCCTCTAAGTGGAATTAATAGGAACCACTGCAGGGAAGACTGCATGGATGAAACAAATTGCTGTGGGGGTTTGGAAGTAATTGCTTTTTTAATGTAGACACAAACAGTATTTGCATAACTCACAGTAAGGTTTTGTGTTATTTAAGGTTGACATTAAAAATGGAGAAGTAGGAATTTGACTTTATTTTAATCTGTAACAATGATAACTCAGGAATAATGCATGGTGAACTGGTGTTATTCAAATAAGGATCCCAAGCGTGTCCTGCTCATCCTTCTGAGGTTTTGATTTGCATACATCCATTCACCACTCATTATCACAGTTATTACCCCGATGCCAACTAACATGTTAACACAAAATATTGATTTAAAATGATTCATCTATAAGGTTACAGTTGAAGTAGTCCTAATTCAGTAGCGGCAACACTTCCATGACCTGATTATTTGTCATAATTCACAGTAACCTGAGTATTTCTGTTGAAGGTAATATTAAACAAGGTGAATTGGGATATTTATGTTGGCATTCCTGTCGTTGTTCAGCTCTTCTTCTCAGAGATTTGCAGTTGACAGGTTGAGCATGGTGTTAGTTCAGGCAGACCGCAAAGTCAAGCTCAGCTCACAGTGCATCAGCTGTTCTTAACACCAGCCCACAGCCCAGCTGATCACTTTCTACATGTCAAATCAGGTGTTGATTTGAACTGCTTCACTCTGTCTACTCTGGCTACATCCTCTACAGATTGTGTTTAATTTGACCAGCTTCATGACTGCTCTGTACCGTGGGTGGTCTTTGCTTAATTTTTTCTTCTGCCATTGATCTCATCAGGGGTGTGTACTTGGCTACTGTGTTCTACTACAAAGACAATATCCTGGTGACGGCTGAGGATCAAATTCCACTGGTGGACATCCAGTGCTGCTCCACCTCCATCACCCATGACTTTGCTTGGTTTGCCAAAGTAAGCTCTAACAAGAAGTCAGTTAATACAGAGGAATGCATGTTGATAATGTTTAATTCAAACCGACACGTCTTTAGTTGTTTTATCTGCTGATTCTGATGCTGAACTTATCTGGTTCAAAAGCTGTGAAGTGCAGTCCGGAGTTAATTTGAATCATTTCTTTTCTTCTAGTTGTCCTGTGCATGGCAGCAAGTCCCCTGGCTCCAGCAGGCTCTCTCCTCCGCTCACTCCTCCCCCTCCTCCCTCCTTCAGAACAGGCACAACATTTTACGAGCTGTCTCCCAGCTGCAGGTAGGAACTTAAGCAGCTTACTCTGCATGATAAGCAGCACCAATGGGTTAAATAGTTTTAATTAACATTTGATATTAATTCTTCTTCCTCCTTCATTCTTCTTACCTGCAAATGCCTTGCGTCCATATCTCTTGAAAACACTTCTACAACCAGAACTTGTGTTTCAGCTCATTAATCCCTCATATTTATTCATTCATGTGTTTCTGGTCTGTGTCTTCACCTCTCTGCCTTCAGTCCTCTTTGGGAACAATGGATCTGGGCCAGGTGTACTATGAACCTCTGAAAGACCGACAGGGCAACGTCTTACTTGTGACTCTGAGAGAGTTCCCACTGCCTCACAGGTGAGAAAGAGTGGTTTATTTTATGCAGAGGGACTTTTTATTCAGTTGAAAAACAGTGCAAAGCAGCTCATGTGGCTTTAACCTCCAACTTGTCTATGAAGGACAACTTTCCCCACAGCTGCTCACCACCGTGTCTCACTGTTTCACTGAAACAAACATTTTAAATCTGACTAGATTAAGTTTTCAATCAGTCTGCTTGACTCCATTAATCTCCCTCATTCCCAAGAGAGAAGAAAACCTAATCAGGCATCAGCCTTGCTAAGCAAACATGCACAATACAGCCTTCAGGAAAACCAGTCTTTCTTTCAATTCCCTCTCTTTGACTGGCTTTGTTTTTTGTTTTGTTTTTGTATGAAGAAATCAAACTTAATACTTAATCCAAGGATTACATTTTCACTCTGCTCCAGCCCTCCTGACCCTCCGCTCCACTGGTTGCCTCTGGCCCGCCTGGAAAAGAACCGCAGCAGAACTCCTCTGCTGCCAGAGCCCACTGCCATGGATACGCTCTACGAGCAGCTCAAGGTGAATCTGTGTTTGTTTAACAGAGAGACATGAAAAAGGTCATGGCCTGTCATGCCCACAGGATGTGACGAGGACTGAGTGCAAAATGACTGAGAGACTGATTTTAAAAGCAGATAGTGCAGCTTATGTGTTTACGTAACCTGCGCAGATTAGAAAATAAGGTTTCATCTAATTCATGAAGTACAAAAAGGGTTAAATGTACCAGAAACTGCAGAGAAAATGGCACCTCAGCGCACTGAAGCTGTCTGCGTGTATTGAAATGAAGCACTCCGGGGGGGGAAATAGGCCTCTTTCTGTAAAAATAAAAATAAAAAAAAAACATCAATTTACATTTAGTGCACCAACAGCTTCTCAGAGTCAAAGTGAAAATGTTCATGTCTTCTTAAAGTTGGAGGTAACAGCAGTAGTTTGCACCCAAATTTTCCAAAGATCATAACAACAATTCTACCTCTGGATGATCAAAAGAAATATATATATTCACACAAATCTCTTAATATAACTTTGACTAGAGATAAACTGGTTGGTCAGACCAATGAAAGGCAATGAAATATCAGCATCAGCTAATATTGAGGCTCCTGAGGGCCCCTGCTCAACGGGCTCATCATCCGTATTTGGGACAGGTTTGATTTCTGTCAGGATAAAAGCTGCAGAACTTTAAGACGTATTTGTGCCTGAAATAAAAAAATGTTGATGTGCTTTGTGACTTGGACCTTGAGATGAAGTAGATAATGGGGATGCATAATAGGCAATTATGATGCAGTTAGCGGCTGCAGTTCATTCACTAAGAATGGATTGGCTGTTCTGACTTGAAAATCACTTTAGAATTAGTTCTGCAAGACCAAACCAAACTACCTGATTAAATGAACACAGATCAAGAAAAAAGCAAATAAAAGGCATCTATAACTCCTCCTCATTGTACCTTATGATCTTTTGTCCTCCAGGAGAAACTCTCCTTCCACAGGCACAGCAATCAGTGGGGCCAGCCTGGTCTGTATGTTGGCATCCTGAAACTGTGCAGTTCAGTCGAACAGATCCGGGTCCTGGTGCCTCAGAGGCTGCCCAATCTACTGTGCCATACCCGAGTGCGACACAACGCCCACGTTACCAGGTGACACATTGTGCCAGGTCAATCACAAGTAGCACTGAGGGATTGAAAAGACTTAACTATTTGATGTTGAACTTCCTCAGGATAATATCCCTTTGTCTTCGTCTGTCAGATTGGGGTTGAAAACGTGTCAGAAAATGCAGTCAAACAAGTTATTCTGTCTGTTTTGTCTCACCACCAGGTTTTAAAGTGCCTTTGCCAGTTATGTTATGATTTTTTTTGACAGGGAGGAGTGGGAATGGCTCCAGAGTCATGTTTACACTACAACTAATGACAGCGCTCAGAACCTGCTGGGCGGTGAGGATGAGAGCTTGATGGAGAGCAGCGTGATGTTGGAGTTCATCATGTCTCTGAGAGCTGCTGTCACACATTTACTTACAAAGCTCAACATTCCCCTCTACAGGGTAAAAGACCGTCAAACAGCCTCATTCCTGAGTTTGATGTGACGAGAAGAAGAGACAAAAATAAAAAACAGTTCAACATTGAGCTTCAACACTTTTTCATTGCATTTGCACCTGTTTTTTGTGTATGACAGGCATATCAGTATGGTGTGTACACCCGGGAGCTTCTGCAGTTTGGAGACAAGGTGTCCATGATCCTGCTTCTTCCTCCCAGTGAGGACTTCAGCTCAAGCTACTGGCCTCTGGTGGGGACAAAGGAGCCTGGGCTCACCATGCCCCTGCAGATCTTTGAGCTTGGTGGGTGGAAATCTGTAGCTTTATTAATTAAAGATTCGTTAATAATAATAACGCTGGGTTTTTAAGACCTGCTGTAAAAAAAAGAGGCTCATAAAAATGAGCTCTGAGTTAAAAAAGGGCAACAAAAAAAAAACCAGTGTGATTCATAAAACTGTGGACCTCGAGGTGAGGATTAGTACCTCGCTGGGTTACTTTAATTAAAAACAGCATGGTGCCTTACAAGCCTTTGAATTAAAAAAAGACTACTGCACTGCATCAAATACTGTAAGGAGGAAATAACAAATCTTTTTATTCGGTTTACACATCGCTAAAAGCAAAAATGTGTTTTTATCTTCAAAGGAGCCAGCTGGAAAATGATCCAATGAACTTAAATATCACCCATGAAATATACTGAAACCATTACAGGTCAGGTTGCAGAGTGTAATTTGTAAAGTACACATTATCTGATGCTCAGGTCTTTTGAAGGGAAGTCACTTTTATTCTTTTTTTGTGTCTAATTACTTCTTTGATCTGTTTTTCTCCACGCTTTAGGATTTGTTTTGCCTCCAATTTAAATCCATCTTTCCTTCCTCTCTCGCCTTAAAAACTCCCGCGCTCAAAGTGTGATAAAGTGTGCTAATGAGATCTGAGTCTATTTTTCCTCTCTGCTTTGATGTAGTGATTTGTCTTTGCCTCATCACCAGTTCACTTCTGGACATATGAGAGGGACTTTCTGTCTCAGTACTGCCAGGCCTGGGTGAGACTGGAGCTGGATACTCATCTGGCCCAGCAGGCTCTGCGAGAGGCGCTGGACACCAAAGAGGTGCAGGAAGCCCGAGAGCGCCTGAACCACATCACTGAGTTTACCCATGTAAGATCAGCTGAAACAAATGAGATGTAGAAGATGGTTGTGCTTACTGACTTAACTCTGCTGCCACCTCTTCTTTAGCATCCAGTTGTCTGTTGTTTTGAAGCTTGAAAATAGTGTCAAGACAACACACCAAGTGTTGAAACTGAAGATGTGACTGTTTTATGAAAAATACTGCATAGACTCGGTTTAAATTGTTTGTGAGCAACACATTTCAGAAACAAGAGTGGTTTTGCATCACCGCTTCTTCTGACAACACCCTGTCAACATTTGGAAGACCAGTCTCTGAAGTTTTAAAAGTGAAATGTTGTCCAACTGTTGCCTGATACAGGAGTTCAGCTGCTCAACAATTTGGAGTCTCCTTTGTCATAAATATTTTAATGAGTGACAAGTCAGGACTGTTTAAACTGCAGGCCAGTTTAGCACCTGGACTCTTTTAATACAGAGCCGTGCTGTTGTAATACACACAGACTGTAGTTTGGCATCCTCTAGCTGTATTATGCAAGGTCCTCTTTATAAAGTCATTGTCTAGGTGGCAGCACATGTTGTTCTAAAATCTGCATATATTGTTCAGCATCATGGTGTCTGAAAGCTACCTCTGCTGTGGGGACTTATACATCCACGTATCATCAGCTGAGTGGTCTTTTGTCTTTTTCAAGTGGGTGATATAGTGTCCATGAGGTCAAAAAGGACTGTCAAATGTGTATTTGTTAGACCACCAATGGGTTTGGCCAAGACTGTGTTTCTATATCATCTTTTTTCATGGTTCATCTTTGCATGGGACAGTTTCAACCTGCATTTGTATTTGGAGGTGCAAACTCAGTTCACACAGACACAGACAGTCATTTTAGGGATTGATTTTGAGCCCATGCAGTGATTTCCACTGTAGAGTCATGACTTGAGAATTGGGATTGGGATTGTAGAAATAAAAGCTATTTATCTAGATTTGCCAATAAAATTACAAAAAAAAGCTTTTGCATTTTTGAGTTTTAAAACATGTTTAGGCTCTCATGAGAGTTTGAAAGTCTAATTTTTAGTAAGAAAAGATGCATATGTTGTGTTTTAATAATCTGTACGAAGCATTCTATTGAAATCACTTTTCTTAGCAGGCAAAAAAAACAAGGACTAGCAGTTTTTGTTTAGTTGTGAATCAAAGCACTTCCCTGCATGGAATAATGTCTTATTTATACACATTTAACATAACAGACAGGTTTACATCTGCAAAGTAGCAGCAACCTTTTCAAATGTGCCATCAGCTGGTGGAATTGGCCTTCTACTTCGGAAGAAAAAGTGGGTCATCAAGTGCTGTAAACTTTGTCAGAATTTGCTCTAGTTTTGGGTTGTCTCTGCTAAACTTTTTGTGGTTATAAAATCAGCACTGCAGCACTCTCTTTTATGTGAACACTAGGCTTGGCTACTGCTACTTTATATTTCTTTGATACGTTTATGTTGCAATGAGGACTTTGAGGTGACTGGAAGATTTGGTGTGTCAAAACTTGAGAACTTTTTTTTCACCCATTCTTGTGTAGCTGTGGCATGTTTTGCAAATTACAGTTTTGTTATCCTTCTCTGAAACTGTTAAAAACATACACACTGGAGCCATTTTTACTGTTTGGTCAGCTTTTTGTGGCTGATGAGGGATTGCATACTGCCCCCTACTGTGTTGCAATGGAAAGGCCTGTCAACACGTAAATGAAAGCAACTTTTGTCAATCATATCATCAGAAAAATAAATCATGGCCAATGTGTCGGGCTAATTTACATCCCTGCATGAAGGAATGACTCAGTTTCAGTCTGACGGTGCTGTCTTTGCCCTCTTGTGTCCGTAGCGTCTAGATTTGCTGTGGAGGGATGCTCGCTGGATTATGGACTGTCTACAGTGTGTTCGTTCAAAGCAGTGGGTGGGGGCAGTTCCTCTTGGCCTGGTGATGGGCGGAGACCCACCTGCACGTCCTGATGGTGAAGAAGAGGAGGACAGTTTGACTGCCAGGCTGACGTGGCCCCATCGGACACAAGCACAGCGAGCCATATCAGGTAGAATGAAGAAGAGGGTATCTATATATAGAGACAGACAACATGTCTCCAAATATTTAAAAGTGAAGACCAAATGAGCGCTTTTCAATAATTGTGTCATGTTACATTTTAGTGATATAAACCTGAATTTATGACTTATTAGACGTTCATTTCCACTTCAGAGTGTTCTGTCAGTGGGACTCCTCCAAACGTGGTCACAGCTGAGGTCTCAGCTCCAGCAGGAATCCTGGATGCCCCCGAGGAAGCCGCTCTGGTGTTGATGGAAGGTGTAGCGAAGGGAGGATATCCTGTGGACATTGCAGCTCAGTCCACAATGGACCTGACGAGCATTGGACAGTCAGAGATAGATTGTGCGAGCGCTTTGATTGAGTCTGGACTGGAGCCTGCCGCCGTTGCACAGTTAGACATGGGTTTTGCTGTTTTGAATACTCAGGTATCCTGTGAGGAGGAGGAATTTCCTCCCAGCATCACTGAGGTGATCCGGCCGATGGAGATGGCAGAGTTGGTGGACATTTTACCCACGCTGAGTCTGATTGAGGAGGAGATCCCCAGTGGGCCATCTACACCCTCGGTAATGGATATGTTGGAGAGTTTTGGTCTGGGGATCGGAGAAAACAACTCCTTCTTTGATTTGGAGGGTTCAAACCTGATGAACGGAGCAGAGAGTGTGGATTTCAGCCGCAGCAACAGTGTGGAAACCACACACTGTAACAACTCTGTGGCTCAAGGATCAGATGTGAGCGCCTCTCATGCCATTAACACAACCAGTGCTGATGTTCTGAGCACGGGTTTTCATGCAGAGGCCACAGAGACTCAAGAGGCTCCCAGCAAGGCAGCAAGCTTTCCAGCGAGAAACCAGGTGGAGTGGGACAGACCCTCCAACAGTTCATCCTGATATCAACTCAAAACCAGACCACTTCATGCAAGTAGTCACTGAAAACCAATCAGCAGCCTGTAGCGTAAACGACATTTTCCTGCATCACTCGCTGTCCATCAGCATCCAACTGTGCAGCTGATATCAGGTGCTGTGAGGAAAAGTCAACTAGACAAAACTTAATCTAATAGACATGAAAAACAAAAGTGACTTATTTATGTTGTTTGCACACTTCTAGGCCTGTAGCTCTTCTGTATGGTTCAGTCTTATGAAGGTCCTTGTTAGAAAAACTATGTTATATTAAATCTTAGGACTAGAAAATCCATCACTCACTGCTAAGGTTGTTTATATTTTGGATACTGTGATGCTTTTAAAAAAACATGTTCAAAAAGGATTTAATGGTTGTTATTTTTACATTTGATAGTATAAAGAAAAAGCACAGAAGCCTATGAAATTAAACAAACGTACAACGAGTAGTGGTGGTGGATTGACATAGAAATAGAGTGAGGAGAGGGAGTGCCGATTAAGTCATCTAATCGGCCAAACTGAAAGATATAGGTTAGAGATGGGCGTATATTTCCAATGTTTGTATTAGCTACTTTAGCTTACCACTGGGCTTCAAAGTGTTGGAGTTTGTATCAAAGATATGTAAGAAATGTAAAATGACTGGGTGATGGTTGAAGCATCGAACGTCACCAGTGCTTCAAAAACTGATTCAGCTCTACGGTTCGAGAGTCTAATGTAGAGAGTTGTATGTAAACTAAGAGGGCAGTTAAATTTGGATAAAGAGTAGGCTACATTTTCCACCGTCAAACATGTTAACTTATTTTTTATACCTGCAATTGTTTTGGAGGAATTTAGGTCTTAAAAAAACTTTTTATCAACATCTCCACATGTAACGTTTTACATGGTGTGTCTCTGCTCTGCCCTCCGTCACAGACTCCGCACTCTTACTCTTGGCTAATATCAGCGTTGTAAGAGGTCTTTTAGCATTGAATAAGGACACAAAGGTCACATAAATGTCTGTAGGAGCCAAATCTTTGCGTAATGTTAAATTCCTTAAAAGTATTTTTTTTGGTTGCATTTGTTACCTGTTTGGCAGAGACATGACGATATAGACACATATTGATCGAGTCATTATGGTGTTTCAGCTGTGAGTGCTTCAAGATGCCAGGTTTTTATTGCGTTATTTGTTTTTGTCAGTAACCTGTTCTTTAAGCCAATCTTAGTTTGTTTCTTTTTTAGGGGTTTGCGGCACAACCCTTAGTATTCAATAGCATAATGTAGCCAACACACATATGAGCCCACACCACTCATCGAGCACTTAGACACCAAGGAGGATATCCTACTGTGAGTGACCTGTTGAATGAACTTAATGCCAGCAGGGAAATTATGATGGTCTATAGCAGCAAAACCACTGACATGCTGTACTGGACTGACGGACTCATTTAAATAAAACACAAGAGGGATCAGCAACTGCAGGGTAGGGCTAGAGTCTTGATTCTGTCTGAAACAGGCTGAAAGCTCTTTGATTAATTCAAACAAGGCTTACCAGAAGACAAAAAAGCCCTGAAATACACACAATTCAACCAAATTTAAATGTCTGTTTTGCTGACTTTGAAAACAATTTTACTTTGAAATTTTTGACACACCAAATTAGTGTTGGGAAAATCTGAATATACATGAAGAAAAACAACTCAGCCAAGAAAGGCTTCTGTTATTTTCCTCCTATTTTGTTTTATACTGTTTGGCCCCTGAGGAAATTTAGCCTCTGCGCCATCTTTAATTACTGTACCTTCACACACAAACATCCAGAAAACAACTGCTACAGCCAGAAAACTTAAAAAGAGTTTGGAAAAACATGTTTGAAAGGGAATATCCATATTGGGAGATTTCGAGTTTGTGTAACTTGTGGAAAACATTGGAAATGATCCTATTAGAACCTAAACAATCAGAGCCATGATACTCAAACATAAAGATGTTTTAAACTATATTTAAAGGTCTTATGTAATGAGCTTTAATAAGTTATTACTGGCAAAACCTTTGTTGTTGAATTTGTATATTAAATAGTATCTGTTAACCACATTCGCACACTGATTCAACATTTTGTTTTCCTTTTAAAGCTCCTATGAGGAGCTTTGTGTTGAGTTTGGCGCCCCCTTGTAGATAAAGTGACACCATATCTCTGTTAATTATTTTACTTTACATGTGTAAGCAGTGCTTTCTGACAAGAAATCTTGTCATTCCTCTTGACATAAAAATGCTATTCTTTTTGCTTTAGAAAGAGAAAAGATGCTTATTTCTCAGTGTGTTGTCAATAACAGGTCCACCTACCCCCTCATAGTGGTTTCATGCATTGAAAACTACCATATGAAGATTTCTAGTCTTGATGAGGATGGCTTAGTTTGAATTTGAGTCCATAATAAGACATTGCTGCTAGTTTCAGTCCATTCATTAAACCAGTCAAAAAATCCCTCACAGGGGCTTTAAAGCTGATTTATTTGATGTTGTATGCCCCTAAATACAATATTTACCTTTTAATACCCTGCTCAGTGAAACAGCTATTTCATTTATTTACCTGTAAATTTTACTACTAGAGATTCAAAATCAGCAGCAAACATTTTTATCACACTCCTTGTGATAGTGCTCTCTATTTGTGAACTATATTAAAGGATAAAAGTTTCTTGTTACTAACATGGAGCTACAATTTTATTTTTACAATCTGAAAATTGTGATGATAATAGCACGATCAAACACAGCCAAGTCCCCATGAGAGATCAAAATCAGTGGACCGATTAAGTGTATTGATGTTTAACTTTCACAAGAGCATTAAATGGTAACATCTCAGGTAAATTCAAGACTAGGATTGAAAATGTGAATTTAGAGATATAGTGTAATTAATAAAAGTAGATCAATGTTATCTTTGACTCTTTTAAGGAAACAAGGACTTTCAAAAGGTAAAGTGAAGATTTTTCATGTGTGTCCTTTAATGTGAAGTGTGTAAAGTGGTATAAGTAGGAGAGACTAGTGTGACTAGACATGAGCAGTGTCAGATTTAAGCATAGTAAGAATTCTAAAAAGGGTAAGGCCCACTGCCTCTTTTTATATTCAACCAGCATTGACATTGTGTGAGATGTGAGAAGTACATTAAATTGTGTTTGTAAGTATTTCTAAGGAATTGTGTTATATTAGCATTGAACTGCGTTTATTCTAAGCTATGGTAATTTATTTTGTTGATAGTAGAGAATTCTTAAAATGATGGCTGTTTGCTGCCCCCTAGTGCCCACAGAGTAAAACTAAAACTTGATTTATCTTATGGTTGAATTTTTGGATAATTACAGTTTACAGTGGTGATTTACAGTCACTAAAGACCAGATTAAATTATTAAATACCTTTCAAACGACTTTAATAATTTGATGTTACAACAGTCGTCATCATCGCTGCGGTGGTGAGGAGCACCTGCATCCGACTGCAGTTGTTTCGATGCCCTCTCCATCAGACGGTTCACTCGCGGTGTTTATTTGAAGCATTTGGAAATTTCTGGAAAAACCTAAGGTTGTCTCCTGTCTTTCTCTCCCGAGAAACCGGCCGGCCAGAGGTCTTTATTTTGGTAACTCTGCTCTGATATGTCGTCTCCCGAAAATGCTGACTCACGAGAAGGTACGTCTGTTGTTGTTGTTGTTGTTGTTATCACACCAAGTTCGTGGTCAGCATCATATGTATGTGCTAAAAGCTACCATTAACAGAATTAGATATATATTATGTATGCAAGAAGATAATCCTGCAACCAGAGTAGGGGAGACCGGGATAGGCTGTCTCACTTTTCACTCTCCAATGATTTGCTCATGGTTAAAATACCTTACCTTATTGTCGTCATTGAATCATCATACATTGAACAAAAGCTTATGGACTCTGCATTTGTCGAATTAAACCCCTTTCAAGTAACAAGTAACATAGTAAAAACATAAGAGTTGCAAAATTAAGGATTTGTTTACCTATAGATTAAACCATTAATTCTGCTATGAAAATGATCATTCTTGATATTAACATGTCACAGTGCTATAAAGGGACATTCCGGTGTAAAATTAATTTAGACTGTGGCTGTGTCTGAAATGAATCACTCAATCCTGAACCCCTAACCCCCATATGGGATCTCAGTATATAGCTGACTATGTAGTGAACTTAATCACCGGAGGTTTCGGACACTACATAGTAAGACGCGATGCATGACGGGATGCCCACCACCGGTGAGTGACCATCTGATGGTCACTACATTTTGCAGTGCTTTATGGGAAATTTTGAGTCGCCTATATGGGGCACAGGAATTGATCACTCAGGTTTCGGACACCCCTAAAAATGGCGCTAACCCCCATATAGTCGCCTATATAGGGGTTAGGGATCCATTTCGGTCACAGCCTGGAGAGATGAATGTTGCCGACCGCTTGCTTCTCTAGTTATACCAACATTAGTAACGACCGCACGATAGCAATACACAGTGGTCTGAGGAGCCATAAACAAACCTCAACCAAAACGCCACTCTATAGCCACAAATAATGCTCAGAACAGCAACAACAACAGTACATGTAGGGTCCCAGCCATAGTACTAGCCACCAAACATCTTTTTAACTTTGCCTAATTTCTTTCGCAATGATCATTTCTTCATGGAAATGCAATCAGACTGAGACGCAAAGGCAGAAGAACTACCGTGTCTGCAGTGCAAAATGATTAATATGGTGGTTATTACTTTAAGGAAATGATAAAGAAATTATCATTAATGTTCTTCCTTGAGCTGCGTCACCCTGCAGCAGTCCGTAATGGACTGGCCTGAGGACTTGCTACAAACAAGCGGCTGCTGGAAGAGAGTAGGTGAGTTGTGTTTAGTCTCTTTGCGAAAGAAATTAGGCAAAGTTAAAAACATGTTTGATGGCTAGTGCTATGGCTTGGACTCTATCTGTACTGTTGATGAAGTTAGGTGCTGTTCTGAGCATTATTTGTGGCTATAGAGTGGCGTTTTGGTTGAGGTTTGTGTGTGGTTCCATAGATCGCTGTGTATTGCTTTGGTCATTACTTAAGTTGGTATAACTAGAGAAGCAAGCAGGCGGCAACATTCGTCTCTCGAGGGGGTGTCTAACTCTGCATTATGGTGTGTTTGACCCTAAATTAATTTTATGCCGGAATATCCCTTAAGCTGTACCTGAATAACCAAGACAACCGACTCTAGTCTCCCAAAGCGATATCAATGTATTCTTTCATTTCACTTCAGTCTGTGAGGCTGCGCCCCCGACACCAGAGAAAACCGAAGCTCTAAGGATTGTGCTGCTGGGCAGGACAGGATCAGGCAGGAGCTCCTCCGGTAACACCATCCTGGGGAGGTCTGCTTTCTGGGTGGATGTTTCCCCTGATTCTGTCACCAAGCACTGCCAGAAGATGACCGGGACAGTAGACGGACGAAAGATCTCAGTGGTTGACACTCCTGGATTCTTCCACACTCAGCTGTCCCTTCAGGAGGTCATGGCAGAAGTAGGACGCTGTGTCGTCCTGTCCTCCCCTGGACCACATGTCTTCTTGGTGACCCTGCAGCTTGGCAGGTTCACCCAGGAGGAGAGGGACGCCTTAGAGTGGGTGAAAGCTACGTTTGGACCTGGAGTTACCAGATTTACTATGGTGTTGTTCACCTGGGGGGACCAGTTACGAGGAAAACCTGTCCAAGACTTCTTTGAAGTTAGTGATGAGCTGTCAGAGTTCATCAGCAGCTGCCACGGAGGATATCAGGCTTTTGATAATACTGAACAGAAAAAGACACCAGAGAGCTCAGAACAGGTCACACACCTCCTGGAGAAGTTGGAGAAGCTTGTGCAGAGCAATGGAGGAGCATGCTACAGCAATGAGATGTTCAAGGAGGCCGAGACGGCAATCAGAGATGCACAACAGAGGATTCTGAGAGAAATAGGACCCACTTCGGAGTCCCAGCCTAAGGAATCGAAAGGATCAGAGAGTAGGAGGGAAGAGGAGGAGAGAAAAAGAGAGGAAGAGGAGGCACAGAAAAGGGCAGAGAGGCTTTTCTGGAGTGAGTTGGTGACGGCTTTGGGGAAAGGTGCAGCAGAGGGGGCGGGGATCATGGGGAAAGACAAAGGGAAAGGGAAAGCTGTGAAGAAAGTGAAGGTGATAGAGAAGGCAGCAGCTCTGGCAGCATCACCGCTCTCTGTCAGCTCAGCTGCAAAGGCAGTGAGCGGAGCTGTCAGAGAGGGGAGCAAGGTCCTATACAAACACAGAAAAACCTTCCTGCATTGAGAGACACTAAGTCTGACTCTAATCCACTCAGCACTAAGCTTTCTTACACATCTCTTGTTTAATTTTTCTGTTTAACTACTACACAATGCACTAGAACTTTTAACTCCTACTGTTTAATAATGCATTGTGTGTGAAGATGTGTGTCCAGAGCAAACATCCTGGTGTGATGCTATTATTGGGATGAGTAACAGAGAACAGAGACGCACCTTTCACTCAAGAATTCACATGTTGTCAGAAATGAGAAAGAGTGTGCAAGTCAGCTTACCTTGACGTCTTATAGTGTCAAAAAACAGATTTTTTTATTGTTTACAGAAATTTAACATGCTCTGATTTAACTTACAACTCCAATTCTTAAAAAGCTGGGACTCTGCGTCAAATGCTGCTGAGAACGGAATTTGATGGTGTGCAATTCTTATGAAGTATGTGTCTACTTGAATGCAGTGCAATAACAACAAGCTTTGAAACAAAAAATGTTCTTATCTTTCAAAAAAGCTCATTTTCTAAACTGTTGGAACAGGGCCAGCAAACACTGAAAAAGTTGTGTACTGCTCAGAGAATTGCAAATAATTGAGGAATTTAATCATCCAAAAGATTTATAGAATCTGAATCTCTGCACAAAAATGGGGTTAGGCAGATAGAGTGATAGTCAGAGCCCAAATATTCAGGCCCTGAGGCAGCACTGCATCAAAAACAGACTCTGCAGTGGAAGTCACAGCATGGGCTCAAAATGACACTTAACACAGCTTGTTTGTGCATCCACAAATGCAGGTTCAAACCGTACCATGCACAGAAGAAATTATATCTAAACATGATACAGACATGCCAGTTACTTCTCTAGGCCCAAGCCCATTTGAGATATACTGAGGTGACATGGAAAATTGTCTTGTGGTCTGGCATATTAAATCTCAAAACCATGAACCCGGAGGAGAGGGACCAGGCTTTTTTTGTTATCGCACATTTCCAGAAACCAGTAGAGTTGATAATTAATAATAATAATGCATCAGATTTCATACAGCGCTTTACCAGAGACCCTCAAAGCGCTTTACATTGGATACATCATTCATTCGCTCACACAGTCACACCTTGGTGTTGGTTAACTACCTTAGTAGTCACAGCTGCCCTGGGGCAGACTGACAGAAACGTGGCTGCCAGTTTGTGCCTACAGCCTCTCCGACCACCACCACACAACACTCACAATCATACACCAGTGGAGGACACAAACTGGGAGCAAGGTGGGTTAAGTGTGTTGCTCAATGAAACAACGGACAGACTCGAGATAGGAGGGAATCGAACCGCCAACCTTTCAGTTATTGAAGGACCTCTTTACCTCCTGAGCTACTGGCATGAAAATGTATGAGTACCTGTGACAAGGGTAGTTTACATATCAAGAATGGCACCATTATTGCTTAGTGACAATTATAGGGTTTAAAAAACATATGCTATGTGCTACGCTGACCTGTCTGCAGTCATGATTTGTCACTTACAGTAAATATTTGGCCCTGATCACCTCACAAAAAATAAGACAAAGAGGATCCTGGGCTGTTAAGCAGCAAAAATGAAAAAAATCCACTTTCCAAACTCTAGAAATCCAAACTTTTACCGTGTTGCTACAGGAAGAGGTGATGCAACAAGACAGTAAACATGTCCCTGTCCCAACTTTTTTTCAAGATGTGTTGCTGGCATCAATTTTGAAATGGGAACATGTTTACCAGAAAGCTGCGCAAACAAAAAATCTGTTCCAGTATTTGGTTTCCTTGGCATCATTTTTAGTTAGAGTCAAAATTCTTTCCTTGTCAACATTTTACAGTGTCCCAACTTTTATTGAACTGGGGTTGTACTGATTTTTATCCCTGGCACAGCTTTACTGTGCAGACAAGAAAACAAGCTTGGAAAGAGAGAATTTGTTTCAATAAAAAATTAAAGAAATTTCCTGTTTCAGCTTTGGTTTTTTTAAAAGACATGACAAAACATTCAGCCCTTTTTTTTCTTCCTGTGAAGGAGTACATATTAAAAAAGACAACACCAATACAAACTGTAACATGATTGACAAAAAGAAAAGAACATGTTTGCATCTAATAATCTGCTCAAGGAGTGTGTGGAGACTGTGGAAGAGCAAATGTTCAAATTGAGAAAATAGTACAAAATTTGATGCTACCATAAATCATCAGGAGGTTAAAATATTTAAATTTAAGGACCTTTGACATCCAGGATCTGTATGTGCACTGTGTGAAAACTAGAGCTACACTTTAACAACCAGAGCGCTCCACAAACGAGCGACAGCTAGCTTCATTTAGTTTATGGATTCAACTTTCAAAGTGTCCTGACAGGTAAAGACAAAGTCTCCATAGTGTTGTTTACTGAATTTAAGTTCCACATACACACATGGACACCTTTCCAGTGTCACACTCACATCTCATGAAAACAAAAAAAAACACATCACACACTTCTGACCACAACAGCATCAATGCACTTATTTGCATACTAAAAGAGTCACACACAAACACACAAAATACCAGTCAGACAGGAAACCCATTCCTACAGGCACACGTTTTGGTCTCCAGGGCGATGTCACACTGTTAGTCCTGCAGCTGAGTTCACATGCAGGCGGAGTTCAATGACTGAGTTCAGATACTGGACTGGAGCAGGCACAGGTGGATGGAGGGATGGTTCAAGGACTGGTTTTAAATTGGCATCGGCAGACTCATCTTCCCTTTCCCTCGGATCACTGCAGAGAAGACAGAGGTAGAGAGTCAGGCTTCAGTTGTAGATGCAGTCACTTGTTGACTCCTAGCATCTTCCCTTCAGTACATGTATTCTCCCTTCACTTTCTGTTTGTCTTCAGCTGTCTTCTTAAATAAAGACAGACATGTAGCTTAAAATATCTTCATTTTTCCTGCTAACGTCAACCTGAAGCATGAGTAAAATCCAGGTATCTCTTTACGATAAAAACACTGGAAGCTAGTGAGAAGTCCTGATAAACCAAAAGAGTTCAGTAATTCTTTAAGCTTCAGTTAGAAATGGCGATACTCCCTACTGGAGCATACTGCTTAAAGCCCCACTCCGATCTGTTCTTTTACTACTATAAGTGTTATCAGTGGTCTTTAAGTTGTGATTATTAAATTCTTAACCAGGCTCTTGGCAGCAGAGTTAACTCACCTCTCGTAACATAAAGATAGAAGAAGTCGCAGTAGAAGATGGTCTGCACAACGCCAGACACCACAGCGATCTGGTCTAAGAAGCCCTCTGTGTGGTAACGCCACACCCAGTTGGCGATGTAGAGGGCTCGGTACAGACCCAGGAAAAACAGGTAATGTGTGGTGATGGACTCTGCCTCGCCCGTCTTTGTGATCATGAAGAGCTGCGGCATGATGGCCACCGCCTCCAGGAAGATGGAAAAGGTCCACAGAATCTGGATGAAGAAAGACACATGAGGTCAAGTGAAACTTGAAACCAGGAGGACAAAGGTTTAATCTGGATAAGAGTGATCCTGGATTGGAAAATGACTATTTTTCAAAGCAGGATCTGGTTACCTTTCACACTTTCATCCTTTATTTTTATAGAGAGTTAGATAAAGTTGACCACTGGATACAGACTTCTAAAGAGATCAAGCTCAAATTGTTTGAACCTTAGTGATCCAATGATGCATACATTTTTAAATCTTTCTCTGGAAACATGTGTGTTTCCTGAGAAAGATGTTTGTTTACCTCCAGTGGAGTGAAAGCATAGTTCTCCAGGAAGGACAGCCCAATGACTGGAACCAACAGGAACTCCACACGGAATGTGTCATTCTCCGAATCGTAGGAGTTCCTAAAGCGCATGTAGATCAGGTACACAGTGGCATAGGCCAGAGCTAGAAACACCACCTTGAAGGAGAGAGTCATTTTTCAGCTGGTTAGAAATGCAACCTGTCACTCTTTATTTATTCTATTCCAGAGAGACTGAGACTCAAACATGAAGCTGGACTGAGCTGGCATATGCAGAAGGTTTCACTTTTCTTGTTCTCAACAAGGCTTGTCTGTGCTGATTCATCACTCTGCAGATTAAGTAGAACCAGTTTTGTTTTTTTGCTATGCATTGTAAAAGGTATGTGTTTAACTTTGAGTGATCTCTGCTCTCACCTTCATGACTGTGTTGTAAGCAGAGACGAAGACAGTGAACAGGTCCAGGTATCTGGTGGTAAAGACAAGTGCAAACAGCATCTGAGACTTCCCAGAGATACCTGCAGAAGACAAAAAGACCAGTTGGATCTGTTCATTAGGCTTTTAACAGAGGCTCCTATATAGAAATGTTGTTTGGACAGACATCTTTGAATCCAAGTGCTTAAAACTTTAAAAAGTTGGTTGAGTAAAATGTTTTGATTAAAGATGTACCAGTCCATAGCTGCACAGGCTTGAGTAAGCATTTTCTGTTGTTATTGTGGGAACAATAGCATCTTGTTTGGTATTCCTCAGTGAAAAGGTTTGCAGTATAAAAAATGAGGTTAGTGCAAAAGATATGTGAAGGTTACCTTCTATATCTCTGCTGTAGATAAATTCTACTTACACATTTATGTAGTCTATGTTTGTTCAGTTTGGACAGTTTTTTTGTTCAGATTCATAGATAAAATGATAAATCATTTTTTGCCCTGGAGTCTGCCTCTCAGTCAGTGGTAACCAGAACTAGCATGAGTCAATATATCATTCCAAATTCTACTTATTTCATTAACAGATAGAGGCCAGTGGAAAGGAGTCACAGTGTGGAATTGAACCCAGGCTGCCTTTGTGTGTGGGTTGTGGCCTTGGAACAAGTCATTGGTGTCACTAATTTCTACATTGTGACAGAGGTTTCCATTTTTACTAACAAAGCTCATCAGTTCCAAATATTGGTTAATGATGTCATGAATCATTCATAAGTATTAGTGTCAACCCTGATAAACCAATATTGGTTGGCCCCTGTTTTAAAGAGTGTTCCTAGGAGGAGAGTGAGCCTTCATTGTTGTCCCATTGACACATCAGCAAGTGTGTTTGTTCTCTGATGCAGACTTTTCAACACTAAATTACACACTTTATGTAAGTCCAAATCTTGACTAAAGATACTGGGTGTGGCATTCAGTGACAGTTAACAGAACAGGCTAAGAAGTTAAATACCATATTTATAAGTACGGTTAGACTAGTGAACAACTATCTGAAAATAAAGTCATTTGTGTTTGTGAACTTGGAAAGAGCTTTCCATGTCCACCAAGAAGCCCGCCTCCTTCAGTAGAAGCTGCTATCTTGAGTTGCTTTGTTACTACAGTTGCACAGTATGTACAAACTATTATCACCTGAGTTTTGTAGTGAGTGAGTATGAGATGTATCATTTTGGAGACAAAGAAGAGAGTTGTTGTAGTTGTGCGCAGAAGACACGAATTTGACAAATAAGGCTCAAATGCTTTTCGGGGCTTTTTGTCCTTACAAGGCCACTATCGTTTCACCAACCGAAGGGGGTGAACAAAGGGAGTGTTTCATTCTACATTCTAACTGCTAGATAATGTTAAATATAACAATTTCTACATTCTTAACTTTTTAACAGTGCATCTTGTTTCATGGATCTTCTTGTGTTTCAATCACTGACCATCAAACAGGCCGGAGGATCTGGGTATTTGTAGTTTCTCTTTTTGAATACTTCAGAAGGGATGACAAATGACGTTGGTTTAGGGTATTGATCAGAGGTTTGTATGAGTTCATTATTAGATCCCATTTCCCATTTAGTGTTAATATCGTCACAGTATTGTAGAATGTGTAATGTGTTTTATTAGTGCTGCCTCTGGTTTTCTGAATTTCCCTCTCTATCCATCCATCTATCGATCTATCGATCTATCTATGTCTCATTTTTACACCATTTCATCCCCTCATGGTCTCACACACTGAAAACCAAGCCATTTAACTCTAACAGTGCTCAGTGCTTAGGCTTTAGGGTGAGATTTGACTTTTAAGTGTGTGCACAACTCATAACACCCCTTCTTAAGTCAGTGCCCAAGTTTGGCCACCCCAAGTCGCAATAAGTCTACACCCGCCCCTGCTGTCTCACTGATGTTATAAAATAGTTATATGAATAATTGTTGGCAACTTGAAAGAAAATTGCAGTATATATCCCATGTACAAAACCTTTTTATAAATCCAACAGTGTAAAGTACCCAGGAAGTCATATTTTTGTCATAAGACAGCTGTAGAGCAGTATAACGATGCAGTAAAACAGCTGTAAAAAGGTGGAGCAGGCTGGAGATAGCGTTGTCAACATTGCCACGTCGCTTCTGAACATCTACTCAACACAATGAGTCTCTTTAACATATCTTTAAGTGCAGTCACAGTCACTTACTTGCAGCTACTATTATATGATTGCATCTTTAGTTCTAGGTTGAACTAAAAGGTCTCCAACAAGTCAAAGTGCATGGATGCCGGTGTGAGTGTCAGCCTACCTGCACAGGATTTGGACCTCCATATCTTCACAAGTAGGATGATGATAGCCAACAGATGTGACACGTCACCCGCCAGACGAAAGATATTCATGTTGATAATGTTAGGTTTTAACAAGAAGAGCAGAAAAGAAGATTAAATGAAACAGCCCACAGGCCCCACCGTCCTCAGCAGGCAGTCACGCCAAAAAGCAAACACTCCAAAAGTCAGTGGAGATGAAACGCGTCAAAAAGCTACAAAGCGAGAAGCTAACATCAACGCACTGCACTTAGAGAGACCGCCTGGCTGCTGCTGCTGCTCGGCTTTCCTTATCTAAATGTATGTAACATAGATAAACAAATGTGATATCTACTGAGTCCAAACTCAAACTCAGCTGAGGGTCTGTCTGCAGCAGCGCCCAGAGGAGGAAAAAGTTGATTCAGTGGAGGTGACGTGGCTGACAGCACGGACGGCAACAACCAGCGTCAAGTTAGCCCAGCCGCTAAACTGTACTATTTCCGCCTCTGGAGTTTCAAAGTAAAATCTCACTGTTGTAAATGCAGTGATTTATTGAGAGTTAACCACTTTTATACCTTGGAACTCTGATTTTTTTCATTATTTAACCAATTATGTAGCTAACACCAGTAATATTAATACAGGTAAATGTTCATCTAAAGGTAAGTAATTGTTTTATTTTGAAGACCCGTCCCACATTCCCCCGTTTAGCCAAACTTATTTTCGTTAACTCGATACAAAATATGAGCAGCAACTGTATTGATGAAAACTATTCAACTATGACTCAAATTTATATTTTTGTTGGGAATTTGAATGCTTATCAGCTCTCTCTTCAGATAATCTCAGGAAATGAGAGACGATGTTCCTATTCTTTACTTTTACATCTTTGACATTCCCCACTTAATTGAAGATTTCCATATGCCTTCCTATTGAATTTCCCTTCTTCTTATTCACTGTTTCGGTATTATTGGAAATACATTCATTCATTTTCAATTTATGTTTCTGTTTAAGTTATTGTGCTTATTAGACTTGTGTTCTGCTGTACAGATTTTTTTTGAGTATTTTGGAGCTCATTTAGACGTATTAATACCAATTTCCAGCAGATGGCAATATGCTGCAGGAAATAACCCAATTAAACATCAGCCCTTTTATTGAAGTCATATCCTGTAGGAGGAGTTGCAATTAGTTTAGCTTCTCTCTTCAAGCAGGACGACCCACATTAATGTATTTATTTTCCAGTTTCAGGCTGAAATCATGTACAAGGAAAATTATCAACAAATCACAAAACAAATTGTCCATTCATAAAGTTGCCTCTAAAACCATACCCACGTTTTATAAAGTTAATATTTTTTTACAACTTCGGAAGGGAGCAATTGTGAATAATGGCATGTAAGAAAAACAAAGTTTTAACTCTGGGTGTATTTCAGTCACACCCAAGTTGACTGTGTTCTGCTGATAAGTTGAAGGCAAAGTCACAAGGTAGCACCTGTTGGTGCATGCTTCATAAGCTAAGCATGGCAATAACAAAAAACTATAATAGATAAAAATACAATTTACCCAACTTGGTCAACTTACCCCATACACGGGGTAAATTGACCATAGGAGACCACTTTTTTTGGCATGCTATTTTATCAAGACAGTTGTGTTTACACTCATTCTGTTGGTTTGCAGGGATACACAACATCTTGAAATATATGCAGATACACTAGTTAGAGACAAAACTATGATTGCCTTGATGTAGTGATCCAAAATATGAAAAATGGCTCATCTTACCCCACTCTCCCCTACAGCTATTTCCTTGTTGATGCAGGGGGACAACCATCCTAGAGTCTGAGCAAGGGGCCCTGAGTTTCTTAATAGGAAATTAGACTTTAGGGGGCATTTTGGGTGATAAACTGATGGTTGTCATGGAATTTCTGACTTTCAAGATCAAACTAAATGCACCATCATCATAGAGCTAGCTGTCCTTCAGACCACACAGGTCAACAAAATCCACACAATCCATGAGTTCCTCACAGGAACTTTAAAGATAGACTGTTAAAATCTTATTTTAGTCATCAATGTTTACCTTTATAAAGCCTGCTGAAATGTTTTTATTAAAAGGGTCCTAGAAGTCCTAAAAGTCTTGTCCTGAAAATACAATATCACCTTTGCCACCCTTGGATGTTCATGATGCTAAAATCATCATACATGCTTTACTTCATCTTGAAATAGTCTCCACCTGCTCTGTCTCCTGACACATCTGCCTCGCTTTTCCACAAATTCTTCTCTCTGAATCATGGTCAAAACCTTAAACCACACTCCATCCATTTCTTATCCTTGGCATCTCCCCTCCCACCACCTTCTTCGGCCTCCCTCTTAATCCAGAAATTGCAGCTGAATTTTGGCATCACACACATCCTGCTCCCCTGCATCCTACACTCATGTGTTCGACAGTGGTAAAATCAGCACAGGGCAGCTGAGATTACAAAGAAAATGCTTTCAGCCTACTTAGAGTGCATCTGTGGTGAAACGGAGAAGTGAGGGGGCATCGCACACCGACGAGGAGCCCACAGCTTCTTAAACACTCAACCAGAACAGAGCCTGGTCCCTTTCCTGCCACGAAGGAGTTCAAGTTGAGTGTTATTCTCCAGTAGCAGAGCCCATATAATTTAAAATCTGATACAACACTCTGTATGATTCAAAAATAAACAATAAAACACATACAAAATATTCAACAATATCAGTTGTATTAGTCCTGAGAGTAATGGGACAGATGCAGCCAATATGTAGGCTATCTCATGAGTGTGTGCTGAGTAAAAGGTCGAGGGAACTAATCTGACACTGTTCCTGATTAGTAAGTACTTACACATGCACAGAGCTGTGTGTCAGCTTGGTCATCTATTCCCTGAATGATGGGCTGTCTGATCAGTCAGTCTGCTATCCTGGATCACCTTTCCTTTCGTCATACAAAATCATTATATGCCAGACACTACCCAGTCATTTAGCAGTATTTGACTATAAATATTGCATTTGTATTTCTGTGTGTTGTCTTTTTATGTAATATTTAGTAATTTTGCCTAAATCCTTTATTTGTTTTTATGTTTCTTATGTATTTGGGATGAACCTTGACACGATTATATCATTGGTATTTTGTTGTGGGGTCATTTTAGTGCACTATGATGTTATATTTTGCTAGTTACAATGGTATTGACATCCGTGGTGTAACCTGATAACAGACAGTTTATGTCTTGTTTCTGTATTACTGTATTTATAGAGCTATTATTACGTTGGTACAGTGGTTCTCAATCCAGTCCTCGAGCCTCCCTGTCCTGCATGTTTTGGATGTTTCCCTGCTCTAACACACCTGATTCAAATGATTAGCTCGTTATTAAGCCATTACAGAGCTTGATAACGAGCTGATCATTTGAATCAGGTGTGTTGGAGCAGGGAAGCTCGAGGACTGGATTGAGAACCACTGCGTTAGTAGGTGTGAGAGAAATTAAAAGTGCTGGTTTATGATTGGTCTATCTCACATCCCAACAAAAACAGTTTCAGACCAGCTGCACTTGGAAGAAATATTAGTTTTTCACTGATTTTAGGATCCCCCTTGGACAAATGGACAGAATAACTAATCATGATAAAGCCCAAACTTTTAGAGCTTCCCCAAGTAATTGGCTGATGTGTAGGTTTCAGTTATAACGTTGTGTTCACACCAAATGCGAACAAAAATGATAAAACGGCATGATTTGTATCTATTTTTAACACATTAATATTTTTGCATGAATAACTCACTCCATTTGTGTGACACATGTCTGAAGGAGTGCTGAAAGATGCGATTTGATGCAAGAGAGGAGGAGTCTCCTTCATACCACTTCTCTATGTTTGCATCAAGTTAGATTGAGGTCGACTGCATTGTGGGGATTTGTTGTATTTTCACAACTCACCAGATAATCTGACCTCCTTCAGAGGGCAGATCACTTACACCCAAGCCAGCTCTTGGACACATAGTTGCCTGCTCACATTGGTCCGATCAGCTGCACCTGAAAGCTTGGCTTGTAGGCAATATCTTAAACTCAGATCACTTTAGTGATACTTTCATTCTGTCTAACACAAAATGCACATTACTCTCACCTGTCTGGAAGATTTTGAAAGTAAAATGTACAACTGGAAAGACCGGTGGTGTCATTATTTCTCATCATGGTATGAGAGCTTCACTATGATGTGCCAAAAATATTTTTTGGCTTTTTTTTTTTTGACGCCAGAAGGCCACAGAGGTGCGTCATCGGTTATAACAGGTGTAAACCACATAGTTAATCAGGGAATAGATTTAAAAGCATCAAGTTTAGTTTACAGTAAAAAGCTCAAGCTGTTGTGATCATCCTGTTGATGTTCATTTTCACTTTCACTACAGTTTCAACCTCGTTACCATGCCTCCATGTTTTCTCTCCCACCTGTCACAGAGTCATCTCTGTTCTTCCTCAAAGAGCACTAATCATGACTCAAACAAGTTTTCACCGGTTTATACTGACACATCAGGTACTATTCAACACCTACACATGCTTAGTAAAAGAGGAGTTTCTGTGGTTTCATCTCTTTTCTCTGTTTGTCTCCCCTCTCTCCCTTACTCTCCTCTCTTCCTCTCTCTCTCTCTCTCTCTCTCTCCTGTGTTCTCCTGAGGGAAGATTGACACAGCATTTTCAGCTCCAGGCTGCATGAGGACGCACACAAGAAGAGCGTGGACAGGCAGGATTACAGTCGGCGAAGGAGGCAGCAGAGGACTGTCACGGATTAAAAGAAAGAAAGAAACAATTGGGATGAAAGAATGAAGAAGAAACTAAAAGAAGAAACTTAACAGAAGGGATTGGAGGCCCCATGAATTTTGGGATGTGGGACTTTCGACCTGCACATTGAAAGTAGATTTTGAGAAGTAAAGTGGTGCGAAAGGTGCTCAAATTTCAACAAAGAGTCAGGGGACATCTGCTAACTTTCTGGGTGAGCCTGATTTATTGTCAATTTCAAAAGCATGCAACAGAAATCTACTTTTTAAATTATGTTTTTAATTGTTGGATACATTTCTTTCCTTTAAGTGTCAGACATTGCAATTAGTTAATTTTTATTCTAAATTAGAGTGATTTTGTGAGTAAAATTAGCACTTTATCAGACTTACCAAAGCTGCAGCATCATGACAACTGTTGTGTCCTCTAAAAAGCAGAAATGCTTCTATTCTCTTTGTGTACTTAATAGCTCTGCTGAACAGATGATGCTCAAACACATCCTCTCAAAATGTTGTCATTGGCTACAAAATTAGAGCTCCATCTTAATTCTAAGATTCACGCTGTTCTAGTTTTATCTCCATTTTGGTTTCAGTTTCAAGCTGCTCTAACTTCCTCTTTGGAGCAACTTTAGATACCAGTGCTGGAAGTATGTTGGCTGCTTTTGCAATCAGTAAACAAATATTTGGTGTGACACCAAACTAGTCAGGTCTGCAGATAAAAACACGGATCACAGTTACCGAGGGGTCAATGAAAAGAAACTAGAGGTTTATTACGTCAAAAAAGATGCTATTTTCACTATCATGGCTAAAATTTCAGAGATGTCAGGATTATACAGATCATTTTGTTAAAAGGGATTATTTAGATGTTCTGTATTGTGTTTCACAAGTATCCAAATACAGCAAAGATAACAAATGAAGCCAGTGGAGAGATGATTGTCTGGGATGTGAGGGCAGCGTGGGAATGACTCTTTGCCTCGGCTGACTGCTGCTCTGTGGGTTGGCTCGTGACAGGCAGAAGCAAAAGCAGGCAGGGTTTGCATCGGTTAGCCCTCATATGAAGATAGTACAGAAGAAGAAAACAAGGAAGTGAGGAGAACCTGCTCAGGACCACTGACTTTAAGATCCCAACAGGATCACAACATAGGGGGAGACTCATTGAGACTCCAAATGTCTGATTTGGCTGATTTTATCACTAATGTCAAACTGTTATGTGCTTCCTTTCAACATTTACATATCTGGATTATTGATTATTTACATGACAGTAGATCAGAACAATCACATTATCAGTTACTGTAGTGTGGACAGAAAACCATGTGTAGGCATTTTAAAAAGTTTGCCATAAACTCAAGGGAGGGAGAAGATATTCACTGAGTGAAGAAACCTGATCCTAGAAACCTGATCTTATCCCAAAATGTATAAGTTACATAACCTACCACTTGGCCCTCAACACTCCCCACAAAACAGAAAAGTGACAACAGAGAAAGAGGTCTATATAGGGGTGATAAAAAGGGGACAGGGAGGAAAGAGCCAGGGCAAGAAGTCTTTGGGCCTGCTTCGATAGGCTGTATACTGTATTTCCCCTTTCTCCTTTATTCTAACAAATGAAAGATAAGCCAGGAAAAGACACCTGTTCGGGCAAGCGTTCATCCCTGTCAGGTTGGGCTGTACACTCTACCTCCCTCTACTTTTCCATATCAAGAAGGTAGAAAGAGGAGATTAGAGAGAAAGGGAAGGGAGAGTCAGGGAAAGAAGCCTGTTTAGGGTTAGACTCATCCTACCAAATTAGGCTGTACGCTCTGCCTTCCTCAACTCTAGTATTTCCACATTTCCATCAGAGAGAAAGGGGACAGGGGAGGCAAAGCCAAGGCGACACACCCGTCTGGCCAAGAACTCACCCTTCTCAGCTAGACTGTACACTCTGCCTTCCCTTTTTTCCTCCATTCAATAGATCAAGCAAAGTGAAGGAAAGAGAACATGAAAAGAGGGCACTGTAGAAAGATGTTACAGGGAGAGCAGAGAAGTCTGTTTGAGTTAGGAGTCACTTCTGATGGGTTAGGCAGTACAATACCTTCCATCTCTCAAAATGAGAAGAGGAAGACAAAAAGAGATTAGATCTATTTGTAGAAAGATGTTGGACAGAAGACAAGGACAGCAGAGTTCAGTTATTTCATCAAAACCCACTTTGGATGATTTTCCCTTTTTTTATAAATAGTGACTCATAAATTTATTCTATTATTTTCCATGTACTTGCTGTATCCCTCAGGTTATATCTGGACAAATAGTCTCTCTAATTGTATCAGTTTTTTTTTGTCTGTGTCTGATGTCACTGCATTTTCTCAGAGATGGTTACTCAAGATTTCAAGGGAGGAAACTTCTCCATTTTAATCCCAGTCGCCCTCGCCCCACCTGCCTGTTCCTGTCTTCGCATGCGAGGATTAACAGTTATGAAATCTCCAGAAGTTTGTTCCCAACATCATGACTACCTGTCTTTTTCAGAGATTCAGAGATTATGACCTGACAACAGGAAGTAAGAGATACGGAGACGCTTATTCACCTCTACCATGTGTTGCAAACGTGGACGTAATAATTTACAAGAACAGTGGTTGAGTTTAGCCTTTGGTAACTTTGAAAGCTCTAAAAATAGACTGGGATTAAAGTTCATGTTAAATAACTCTTTCTTAAACGTGGTGTCCGTGGTTATGGTCAGTTCATTTCATACCAAGTTATTCCCACATTTGAGAAAGTCGCTTTTAAAGCAAAATACAAGCAAAGAAATTAGATTAACTTACCTTATCTGTGTTGGAAATGGCAGCATGGTTTGACATGTTTTGGCCTCTCAGAGTGAGCAGACTATTTTGTTTTCAAGATTGCCAGAAAAAAAAGCCTTTTTATCCAGAAAACCACAACCTTTTTATCCCGGGGTAACAAAAAAACAAGTCAAGATGTTGAACAACAACTTGAACTAACTTGTTTTCATGGAAAAATCACCATCTTTTATCTTAAGATAAATAAATAAATTAATATTTTAAGGAAACAATTAAAAATAGCAAGTTTTTTCACATGATAACAGAAAATAAAATGTATGGATGCATGTCAGCTCTGGGCTTCCATACAAAGCTATTTGCCATTTTGCTATGACTAAAATGATTCACAAATACAAATTTGGGTTTAAGAAGTGTTAATTTTGTCAATATAGGTCTTATATGCAAAAACACATCACATGAATATTTCCATGATGTAGGTCCAACTCTCAAAAGCCCTCTTCTTTTGTTATTTACAGCTTCTTTTGGAACCACAAACCCTGAATCAAAATATTTAACACAGCACTATCAAAGTAAAACTATAGGGTGAAAAGTCTGAGCTTCTACAATAATCACTAACAAAGATCATAGAAGTGAAAACAAAGAAGGAAAATGGTGATTATTTTCTTTAACGTGCTTCTGTAGTTAGTGCAGTGTCTTCAGGCCGTAGCGTTGGGGAAATAAGTGGTTTAAAGCGAAACATAAAAGCTTCTTGAAAACAATCTTTAACCCGAGTCTCTGATTACAGTTATACAGATCAGAAAGGGCTCCGCTAAGAGACGCCTCAGACATCTTATTTAGAATTAAAACCTAATGTAGATTCTGCAGTGCTGCCCTTTTGACCTTTCTACCATCCCATCTCTCCCTCCCTCTCTGACTCATGTTGTAAGAGCACTTAGTACTGTGCACTACCTCCCCACAACACCCTGCCTGTGGTGACTCTCTCCACTTCTCCTCATCCCCTAAATGCCACTGGGTTTGTGTCTCTATGGAAACTGGCTCCAGTGAAAGTCCCCAGTTTTACCTGTGGACCAGTATGCATACTGTGTGTGTCTAATTTTTATTGTAATACACCAGGACCTGCTCTCTGCATCTGTGTCTGTTAGGCTTTTAAAAGAATCGACTCCAAACATGGGACTCTCCTCATGATACATGGTCACGCAGTAGTGCCTTTTACATCGTAGAGTTGGAAAAAGTTATCTCAAAGCTGGGGTTTTGATTGGAATCAGGGGTCACCTGTACAGGGACAACCAAAACAAAACATTAAAATGTAGACCACATATCCATCACATACACAGAAGCTGTCCCAACTAATTCAACTAATTTGCCACAGGTTAGTGACATGATGAAAAAAAAGGCAGTCCACGGAGGCGGGGTTCCTCAGAAGTGAAAATAGAAAGAGGTTCACCACTTTGGGAGAGACTGTGTGGGCTAAGTTAGTTCAGCAATGTCAGAGTGATGGTTATTTTTATTTATTTTATTGAAGTATCTCATCACACACGGTACAACCTATCATTTAAAGATTCAGGAAATCTGGAGAAAAGGGACAAGGCTGATAAGTGATACTGGGTGTATGTGATTTTAGGGCTCTTAGGCAGCTCTGTGTCAAAAACAGACTTGACTCTGTAGTGGAGATCACTGCATGGGATCAAAATTCAACATTGTCTGTGAACACAGTCCCATTTTTTATTTGCATTCACATATGCAGGCATGAAAAGAAGAAATCATACATAAGCATGAACCACAAAGACCAGAGAATTGACAAGATGATCAGAGTAACAAGATAACCCTTTCATAAATAAGAATTTTGTGCATGTTTTTTTTTCTAAATTAACAAAACAAGAAAAAACTGAATTATCTTATCTAAAAACAATTTTCGTTACTTTGAGAAATTCACTGTGTTACTTCAGAAAAAAAGGAGCAAAGTTTTTAGGGGAATGTGATACACTGATCTGACAGAGGGTGTAATTGGACACTCTTTTTGGAAACCATGGACCTTTCATCCTCCACTCCAAATAGGTGAGAGACCACCTCAGTTTCAGAGGTGGGATGTAAAAGTGTCCATAGCATGGGTAGTTTACATACCTGGGGAGGCACCATTAACGCTTAACAATAAATAAAGGTTTTAGAGCAACATATGCTGTCATCCAGACTGTGCGTGTTTCAAGAACACTGTGCTTAATACAACAAACAGATACTAGACTTCATTCTGCTCACATTAAACAGCATTACTGTGTGGTAGAAGAGTCAGGGTGCTAAACAGCCAGCCTACAGTCCTGACTTATCACCCTTATTATATCTTATTATATACGGTGATATAATTAATTATGAGGCTTAAATAATTTGTTCAGCATCAATATTTAAAGATTGGGTTTGTAAATCAACAGTATAATAAACTTTAGAGGGAAGGAAAGAAAAGGAAACACAAATATAGTGACACCAAGGCCTGTTGTGCAAAGATCCGATGTTTTCTACATTGCCATAAGAGAAGTTGCAGGATATGTTTTTGACTGTGAAAAAAGAAGCATTTTTACTTAAGGGTTAACCTAAAATTTGATTAGATTGGCCAAAGCAGTCCTGAGGATCTTGCACAACAATGCAGACATTTTGGAGTACATTCATCCCAAAAACTGCTGCAAGCTATCTCAAAATTTCCCCAGCTTTTTTAAGAAATGTGAACAAAAATAGCCATGACCACAATTTCATCTTGGATTAACTACCTGCTTTGTTTTTATCATGAAAAGATTATCTAACAGGACTTCCTTTGTATTTCTGGACAGGCTGTTTTATGTAATCCTATAAAAGCCTTGTGCTGTATTCATGTGATGTAAGAGACAAGATTGTCCTGGAAAAAAAAATGCAAATTTCTACTTTCTTTCAGGCTTTGTAAAAAGTTTTTCCACACTAGGCCAAAATGTTTCCAGAAATGAAAGAAGAAAATGCGGAGGCCAGTTCAATCAAAACATTTTGTTCATCTCTTACTAAAAGCTTTACTGACCCTTTTAACTCAAAATCTTTTTTGCCTCACTACATTTTGTGGGGCGTAGTCATCTCAAGTATTCAGAGCCAAATTGTGAGCAGTAGCATTGGCAATAGGGGGTTGTTAGATGAATGTATCAAAAACAGCTTTTTCTGTTCAAACATGTATGGATTCTGGGCTTTGTGTCTCTCTTAAGCTGCCCTCCACAAAGGCCTTTACAAAGGTAAAAATATACATGTATAAATAAAATATGTTGGTTTTTTTTTTTTGCTGGACATAGTGCTCAAAATAGTTTTTCACCACTCCTTTATATATTCAAAAAAGTGGACAGCAAAAACAGACTGGGGATAATCCACAGCTAGTTAGACAGTTAAAGCTCCTGAGGAACTTTTAGTTAGTATTGGTGTCCCTTACCAAAAAATTATACCTCAAGTACATTTTATGAAGTATACTGAAGGTCATTTTAGTATACTTCCCAAAGTATACTATACTGATGCAAATATACTTCAGTAAGCACAGTAATGGTTATGGAGAGTCACTCTTGTGTTTGCTCTCACTGTTTGTCTTTATCTGTCAACAGAGATGTCTCTTCATAGCATAAAATAATAATTTACACTAAACTGTTTTGACAAGTTAACACCTGGACATAGGTCAGTCTGATAAGAGTTAACAATGACTGAAACCATGTTTTAATTTCATTTATCCTATTTGTATTTTCACATGAAGGATGTGGGCTTTATGATCTGCAGTGTAGCCAGTCCGTTGGGGAAGCTCCAAATGTTTTGACTTTTATTGCCATCTTTTTTTTTTTTTATATTGCCCATCTTTTGATACAGTCTATGATATCACAAGAATTATTCATCTGTTTGTTTAGGAGCAAGAGACAAGCTGAAAACATGTGTCCAAAGTAAACACTTGGATTTATCTGTGATGCAAATAAGCTGCGTCATCAGTGCAAAAAAAAAAAACACTCCTTAAACCCACAGACAAAAATCACAGAGCAGGGTCAGGCTGGCTTATTGTTCTTCAAGACATTTTGGAGAATCAAATCAGGATTAAGTCCAAATCCTCTTATATCTCTTGTTCACTAAACACACTAGAATGCACTGTAATGTTCTTAGAGACGTAAGAGACAAAACTGATGAAACAATACTTGATTGGGTTTAAAACAGTCAACAAAAGGTCATGTTTTTCATTTGTTGAGTTCATCTCTCTGATCTGGGCTTTTTTCTTTTTTCCTTTAGACTGACCCTCACATTAGAGGGCCATGATTCAACCTGCTGTAATGTGCCCACTTTTACTGAACCCATCCAATATGATTCTGTTTCTCTCTGTTTCCCGCACTGATGTCCTTTCAGTGGTTCAAGCGCCACCTCCATGGCGGGGGCCTGATCTGTGGAAGCAGCGCTGAGTCCGGCCTCCCACCCAGGTCCAATTCCGGGGATCACTGTTGCCATGGGAACAAGCAGATCACACAGGTGAGGGGTTTAATCTGGAAACATTAGCCTGTCTGAGACTCTACTTAGCTTTTATTTACAGAGTACCGGTATACAACATTTAATTAAATAGTCCTGGTGAGTTTTTCAAATCACAATTTTTAGAGCTACAAGTTATTATCTGGATCATATAACAGTAAGAGAAAAAGGGGGTCTACTGTTAAATTACTCATCCATCCAAATTAGCACATTAAACCTTCTAATAGTGAAATAAATCAGAGAAATCAAGACAATAAAATGTGTATACAACCCAAATTCTAAAAAACTAATTGTTCATTAAAACAAAGCTTTTGCAAATTGTTTGGAGGTAGTGCAACCTATCAAATATTAAAACTCGTTCTTGTTTTGTTTGATAAAAAACATGTGATCATGCAAGTTCAAAAAAGTTGGTACAGGGGTATGTTTATCATGTTGCATTCCCTTTTCTTTTGACAACATTTTATGTACATTTGCAAACCAAGGAGATCAGTTTCTAAGGTTTTGAAAATGAAATTTTCATTGGTGGAACTTGGAACTGCAGGTCAGACTCCTTTACTATAGAGACATGCTATTCTAATACATGCAGATTATAGTTTGGCATATTCTTGCTGTATTATGCAAGGTCATTCTTGAAAAAAGTCATTATCTGGTTGCAGTCTTGCTACAAACCTGTATTGTTCAGCATCAAAGCTGCCTTTCTAGATGTGTTAGGTTAGCATGCAGTGATCACTTATGCATCCCCATACCATCATGGATACTGCCTTTTAAACTAGATTACAAACCAAATGGCCACATTTAAATCATTAAGACTCAAAACAAAAATGTTTGTCCAAAGTAATAATTTCATGTATCAACTAAAGTAATTATACCACAATATAATGCAAAGAAATATAGTGTATTTGCAGCCTTCTGCAATATAAAACACATAGTTAATTTAACTTAGAGTTTTACCATTGACAAGAAAAATAGCCTGTCACAGCCTTAGATTTCAGGGTGACCAATCAGATTTCTAGGGGTCATGGCCACCCCTTGGATCTGGCCCTGCTCTAGGTAAGCCCCAAAAATCCTTTACCCACATTTGATTTACACAAATGATCTCAAAAACTCTTATTTTAAACCCTGAACCCTGATTCTTTCAAATGCTATCCTCATGAGTCCATTTGTTTGTTGTTTATGGGAGTTTTCATGTCAAAGAGTTCCACAACACCTCTCTGCTTTTCACTGTTTTGAGCATTTTGTTTATCCTGAAGTCTTAACAAGAGTCAGTAAGTGGGAATGGACTTGTTATTTTACTGAGCTGGTCTGGGTGAGTCAGGTCCTGCTCAGGGATATTTACAGCAAGATCTCTAGAAAGGCTGAGGCCATCCTACATTGTCCTGACCAGCAGCAGCCAGACACGAACAACTCTTAGATAGAGGCAGTTACAACATATCATCTGCATTTAAAACACCAAGACTGAAGGCTTTTTTTTTTCTCTGCATTGGGTCTTTAACATAAACAAAAATAATCTTGCAAATGAAAATGCAATTTTGGATTCTACCACCTAATTTTTGCATGATTCTAGCTACAGTACATCACAGCATCAAACATCTGTTCTCCGAATTATGAGTGGATAAAAAACTGATCAAAAGAAGAAAGGAAGATTTATTCAAATATAATCAGTGACATATACACTCACCGGCCACTTTATTAGGTACACCTGTCCAACTGCTCGTTAACACTTAATTTCTAATCAGCCAATCACATGGCGGCAACTTAGTGCATTTAGGCATGTAGACATGGTCAAGACAATCTCCTGCAGTTCAAACCGAGCATCAATATGGGGAAGAAAGGTGATTTGAGTGACTTTGAACGTGGCATGGTTGTTGGTGCCAGAAGGGCTGGTCTGAGTATTTCAGAAACTGCTGATCTACTGGGATTTTCACGCACAACCATCTCTAGGGTTTACAGAGAATGGTCCGAAAAAGAAAAAATATCCAGTGAGCGGCAGTTCTGTGGGCGGAAATGCCTTGTTGATGCCAGAGGTCAGAGGAGAAAGGCCAGACTGGTTCGAGCTGATAGAAAGGCGACAGTGACTCAAATAACCACCCGTTACAACCAAGGTAGGCAGAAGAGCATCTCTGAACGCACAGTACGTCGAACTTTGAGGCAGATGGGCTACAGCAGCAGAAGACCACACCGGGTGCCACTCCTTTCAGCTAAGAACAGGAAACTGAGGCTACAATTTGCACAAGCTCATCGAAATTGGACAATAGAAGATTGGAAAAACGTTGCCTGGTCTGATGAGTCTCGATTTCTGCTGCGACATTCGGATGGTAGGGTCAGAATTTGGCGTCAACAACATGAAAGCATGGATCCATCCTGCCTTGTATCAACGGTTCAGGCTGGTGGTGGTGGTGTCATGGTGTGGGGAATATTTTCTTGGCACTCTTTGGGCCCCTTGGTACCAATTGAGCATCGTTGCAACGCCACAGCCTACCTGAGTATTGTTGCTGACCATGTCCATCCCTTTATGACCACAATGTACCCAACTTCTGATGGCTACTTTCAGCAGGATAATGCGCCATGTCATAAAGCTGGAATCATCTCAGACTGGTTTCTTGAACATGACAATGAGTTCACTGTACTCAAATGGCCTCCACAGTCACCAGATCTCAATCCAATAGAGCATCTTTGGGATGTGGTGGAACGGGAGATTCGCATCATGGATGTGCAGCCGACAAATCTGCGGCAACTGTGTGATGCCATCATGTCAATATGGACCAAGCTCTCTGAGGAATGCTTCCAGCACCTTGTTGAATCTATGCCACGAAGAATTGAGGCAGTTCTGAAGGCAAAAGGGGGTCCAACCCGTTACTAGCATGGTGTACCTAATAAAGTGGCCGGTGAGTGTACATCTGTCCTGGTCGTCTGACAGACACACTGACTCATATATAATCCTATAATCCCTGGAGAGAACAATCCTGCTCATATAGCTAAACTGAACTCACCTTCCAAGCTGGTAATCCTCCATGTAAAGGAGAGGGGGGTTAGGTTTAGTGTTACAGTCAGGTGACCCGGAGGTGTGTTGGTTTGAGCTGAAAGCTTTTGTTTTTGGATTAGATTTGTCTTCTCGTACTATATTCAATGCTGACACTTTCATATAGATTTCACAAACATTTTCAGTAGTCAAATCCTGGTCATTTCAACAATGCAGTGCTGCTGCGTGTGGATCAAGTATCTGGTGAAAACTATGCTGAAATAAAATTTAAAAAAAGATTTTACAAGATGCTCCACATTTCTTATTTTTGCAGGCAGCTGGCTTCTCTTTAATTTACCCCTTCAATTAAAAAACAGACTGACCAAAGACTGAATTTACAACAATGATCTCATCAATTTACAATAGGACTTGTCTTGTTAATTTACATTTTTTTCAACTAATAGTAGCCCTAATACTCTGAAATTTCATGTATTTTTAGAAATATTCCTGCAGAATTGATAACCAAATGAAGTTGTTAATTGACAAGGAAAAATTTGCATATTTACTACCTTATTCTTGTAATTTTATGTTTTTTGTTTAATTACAACTGTAAATTTAAGTCCATATTCTCACTAATTTCTCCTCAATCTTGAGTTAAAATGGATTTATTCTTGCATATTTACGTTTCCCCTAAATATCACAGATTTATTCCAAGACTTTAATGAACTTTAAAAGTTTTAGATGTGAAACTGTTAACTATGAGTGTTTGTGTAAATTTTATGTCATCAATTCTTCAAACTAATTTATAACCCCCACACTCCCCCTCTCTAAACCCAACAGGTACAGCACTGTGTCCGACATTATACCTGGAGAGGAACGCCACAAGATCTCCAATTTGGGACTCTGCAACGGACACAGTTCCTCGAACTTCCAACCACACTCAGCCTGGGACACAGACGCAGAAGACAGACGGGGGAGGTCCAGAGCCTCTGCTGCCGTGCCCAGCTCAAGGGGCCAAGGAGGGATGAACAACTTCAACGGGAAGATTCTGACGAGAGGCTCCAGCCAAGTACGGAGCCGCTTTGTAAAGAAAAACGGCCAGTGTAATGTTTTATTCACTAATATGGAGGAAAAGAGGCAACGCTACCTTGCTGACATCTTTACCACTTGTGTGGACATCCGCTGGAGGTACCTGCTGCTCATATTCTGCACCAGCTTCTTGGTCTCATGGTTGTTCTTTGGAATTATCTTCTATACAGTGTCTTTGGCACATGGGGACTTTGAGAAGCACCCATCAGTAAAAGGAGATGGGCTGAATGCTGGAGGGCTGCATGGACCCCCTTCAGGACACACAGCCGGGGGGCAGACTCAGAGGATGCCCTGTATACTTCATGTCCAGGGTTTCATTGGGGCGCTCTTGTTCTCCATGGAAACTCAGACCACCATTGGTTACGGCTGGCGTTGCGTCACCGAGGAGTGCCCTGTTGCCGTGATAACCGTGGTTGTTCAGTCCATTGTGGGCTGTATTATTGACTCCTTCATGATTGGAACCATCATGGCAAAGATGGCGCGGCCCAAGAAGAGGAACCAGACTCTTGTGTTCTCCAGAAACGCTGTCATCGCCCTGCGTGATGGTAAACTGAGCCTCATGTGGAGGGTGGGGAACCTGCGGAAGAGCCACATCGTGGAGGCACATGTCCGTGCTCAGCTGATACGCTCGTATGTCACAGCTGAGGGTGAGTTCATCCCACTGGAGCAGATGGACCTGAATGTGGGCTATGATGAGGGCACAGACAGGCTCTTCCTGGTGTCCCCTCTAGTTATAGTCCATGAGATAGACAAAGACAGCCCCTTGTACACTTTAAACCGAGCTGATCTGGAGAAAAATAACTTTGAGATAGTAGTCATCTTGGAGGGTATGGTGGAGGCCACAGCTATGACCACACAGTTTCGTAGCTCTTACATTGCAAGGGAAATCCTCTGGGGTCACCGGTTTGAGCCTGTGATCTACGAGGACAGAGACTGCTACAAGGTGGACTATGCTCGCTTCCACAAGACCTACGAGGTGCCGTCTACGCCCCACCTCAGTGCCAAAGAGCTGGACGAGGCCGTAAGCCGGACCTCCTCTGCTGCATCTCCTCTCTATGCATGTAAAACCACACAGGACCTGATTCCCAGGTCTGTGAGCACCTTTTGTTACGAGAACGAGATAATGTTGAGCTGCGGGGAGGAGGAGGAGGAGGAGGACGAGGAGGTCTTCGGCTCAACTCAGACTGTAGGTAAGGAGAAAGCAGAGGAGAGCAGGACTTCAGTGTCTGTAGACTTTCAAAATATGTTCCAGGACACTGCGACCATGACGTCAGGCAGCCACATCATGTGTGTGCTGGACATGGACAATAACCAGATGGAGTTTGACATCCTGCAGACTGCCATCCCTCTGGATCCAGTGAGCTACAAGAGTGAGCAAGAGATTCAGTGAGATGTGACTATCACAAGCTCCTTTTTCACCCACAGAACAATATCAACTTTGTCTCAAATTACTTGTTCCTAAAGAGATTTTTTTGGTGAAACTTTTGATTTGCACGTGCTCAGATTCCCCCTCCTGCCAGTGCTGTTTATATTGCTTATCCATGACAGCAGAAATCAAGGGACAAGAACTTATTTGTTTGCTTAGATAACTTTTGGTACCTGAGGCCCTTTAAGGACCCCAAAGCCTGCTACGCTGGCAGTCTTTTGGTTCATTTTAGGAAAAGTTCAAAAGCAAGAAAGCACTTTAGAGAAGTATACAAAAACTTTAATCATGAGTTGACTTTATTTACTGTATATTTTGCACACAATTGCAAAAACGTAACTTTTTCTGAGTGTGTATGGAACAGATTTTGTGAAGGCAAAAGCACTTTTAGAGTTCTTCTTTTTACTTTATAAAGAGGACCAAACTCAAGACTTTTGAAGTCAGATTTTAACTTGCACTGTTTGTCAAAGTGCATGGTAAGTGAATGCTTGATATTTTCATAGATGTAACATTATTTACATCCACAGAGTTCTCTTCTCCCTCCTTTTGCACTTTAGTGAGACTGTGTATTTTCTTAAATCCCCACCTGTGAATGTTCTTACATAAGATTCAGTCAAAAAACGACAAATGTTGTTCTTATTGTTGCTATGAGCTTTACCTGGTCTTTAAACACTGACATTTGGTTGGAAATGGGATGAAGTCATGTCTGGACATCTAATTTAAAAGTATTCTAATAATCTGAAACATTAACATGTCTGAAAACACAATTTTGTCTTTAGATTGTGCAGGATTTGGGACGCTGTGAAAAATGTGAATGAAAAACAAATTTGATGGTTTTCAAGATCCTGTCAACCCTAAATTTAACTGAAAACAGATATTAGTGATAACGTAAAAAAGATATTGAATGTTTGATTGCTTTGTGATTGTTTTATATGTTCATTTTAGAATTTGATGCCAGCAAGAACTAACACTTTGAACAGGAAAATATAGAAAAAATGTGTAATGCTATGATGTTAAGATATTATTTTGATCATTTATGAAAATGTAACTGAATTACTGAAGTGTTTGAATATTTAAAAGGGTTTGTCCGTCAGTGTATGGCAGCTCATCTGCACTGTTTGATTTCTATTGTATTGTTCTTACTGCAACATAAAACAATGGGAGCTATCTTCACTTCAGGAAAGATACAACTGTAAATACCATTTTGTGTCAACAGAACGTATTCAAATGTTTTCTCCTGCTTTGTGTTTATTAAAAGCTTTTCCAACTCCTTGTTTTAACATGAACCACAGCAGGAACACTTTGTTCTACTTGAAACAACCTGAGCTGAAAAAACTCACTTACAGAGCACTTTATTTACCCTTTGTAAACCTTTCAATATTGCAAATAAATATTTCTATGAGTGTTGTTTTTTTCTTCTTGTTGTTTTTAAACTATTCTTGTGATAAAAGAAGTATTATAGGATTTTTAATGCAGCTACATGTATTGATACTTTGCAGCCACTAGGTGTCTCTGCTGCCATGTAAGACTCAACACCTAATCATGCACTACCTTCTGACTGATTATGAAGTATAAATCTAAGAGAAATAGCTAAAAAATACTATTGAACACTGAGAAACATATGAAAGAACCTGAGGGGAAAAGTACACAGCTCAAGTTCATACACAGGTGTTATCTATATGCAGGACAGGCACGTTGCCCATAATATTTGGTGGAAATGTCAGAGAAGAGCTTTTTCAAAAAAGGTTACTTAGGGGCACACATTTAAAAATGTATAAGGACATAGATGTTATATTAGATGTTTCTGCGATAACCCTGAGAGTAAATCAACAAATTATCATGGAGAGATCTTCAAGAGGTTATGTGACTGCTTTTCTTGCTGACTAAATTGCTGTAACTGCCTGAAATTTGTTAATTTTGTTTTAACTGAAAGTAAAAAATGGACACAGCCCAAATAAATACTTTGGAACAAGAAGTTACTGTAACTGATGGTTACTTCAAATTTAAGTACTGACATTACAGTCTCTATGTAACTGTATATTTTTCAATGTATCTCTCTATAAATGTCAACCTAAATCTATATCTATTTTTCTATATCTAAACCTATACATCTTTATTTTATCCATATATTTTTCATACAACTGTATTTTGAAGAAATTAAGAGGACAGGAATCCGTTTCTAAGAAATATGAGGCTTTCCAACCATTAGTTTTTTATTTGTGAGTGAGTGAGTGAGTGTGAGTAATGAGTGTGATATGTCAAAATAAGAACAGCGGAACAATGTGTTCCAAAAAAGTTGGGATAGGGACAACAAAACGCTGAAGAAGTCGTGTAATGCTGAAAAATACCCAAAGGGACATCACCCAGCTAAATTAACTTTAAACAGGTAAGTAACATGTCTGGAGAAAATAGGCCATGCCAGATAGACTGAGTCTCCCAGAAGTAAAGATGGAAAGAAGTTCACTACTCTGTGAGAGACTGTGAGCAAATAGTTAAGCGACATCTGAATAATGTTACTGAGAATGAAATTGCAAAGAATTTTAGGATATCTTTTTCTTTTCGAAAGAATATTCTTCATGTAGTTTAGCCTATTGATTTTAAATAAACATTTTTGTCACAGTGTCAACAGGCCAAGGTGAAATGTTGCAGACTCCTTTTCACAGCTTTGTATTGTTGTTGAGGATTTAAAGACTGTTGCTAAGGGATGTTGACCAATCAGAATCAAGCATGAATCGTGTTCTAATGCTGCGTTCAAGTTACCTCAGAAGTCAGATGTCCGAGCTGGGAATGACGTCACACCCGAGTTACCAGCGTTTCAGTTACCAAGTAAAAAAATAAATAAATAAATAAATCGGAGGCAGAAACAAGATGGCTACATCTACGAAAGGGGATGCTAAAATAACTTAAAATAATTAAAATAACAAGCGCTAAAATAACTTTCATAGATGTAGCCATATTGTTTCCGCCTCCGATTATGCCTTTTTCCGACTTGGTAACTGAATCGCTGGTAACTCGGTTGTGACGTCATTCCCAGCTCGGACATCTGACTTCCGAGGTAACTTGAACGCAGCTTTATGCTAAGTTAATCATTCTTAATTGTGAATCACAGAGTACATCGGTGCTGGCTGTATTTCATTGTGCTTGTTTACCATGAAAAGTCTCAAAATATACTTTGATAACTAACCTTACTTGACTTTTACAATACAAGAACTTATTGTTCCCCAAAGGGAAATTCATTTGTCTGGAGTCTCATGTTTGGAGTAATCTACTATTTATAGCAGTATTAAACAGTCTGATGGCAGTGAAGATCTTCTGAATCTTTCTGTCCTGCAGCAAAGTGAGAGGGGCCATCCATCACCATTGGCCCTTTGGTCCATCGAGGTGTTATGAAATAAATGATCCATGTTCTTTAAAATAGCCTCCACCTTCCTCAGTGGACATCTCTCTAACACATCTTCCAGTGAGTCCAACTTGAGACCAACCACAGAGCCAGCTTTTTTCACCAGTTTGTCCAGACGCCTTGCACCCTTGTGTTTTATACTGCCTCCCCTGCAGACTGAACACTTGACTTTTATATGCAATAAAATGTTTGTGGGTTGACTCTTCATCTGTTTTCTAAATTAAGAAATGTCTTTTGATTTGTGACCGATGGCTGTTTTGTTCACATGCAGAGATTTAGTGCACATGTGACTTTGTGTGTTTGTGTTTGCTTGTCTGTGTGATACAGAGAGTTGGGTGCGACAGAAACATAGATTGAAACTTCTGCATGTGGTTTGCACATCCTCCTGCATGTTTTGGTCAAGTTTGGGTTAGTGTCTCAGTGGAAAATTGAGTTTACATTTATGTATGTACTTCTGTGTTTATGTCTGTCTGCGTGTGTGTCTGACTTCGTGTGTGCAGCTGTAGACCCTGTGATTGAACCCTCACTCACATGGGCAGAGCGCGGGAGGGCCGCAGGGTTAGAAGGCGATGGGAGAGGGGACTGATGCCTGACAAACTCTCCATCTCCCTTTCCCCTTTAATCTTCTTCTCCCAGCATCAAACAACAAACTCTTTCATTCAGGCATCTCTGCGGCCAGCCCCCCTTAGACCCTCGAGGCCCCCCGCCCCTTCACGCTGCTTAATTCAATGTTCCGAGGAAAACTCATGATTGGAAAGTGACATTTTTATCCCCGTCCTTTGCCATATCTCCCCCTAAGAAGCATCACCCCTCTTCCTGCTCTTCCCCTCTACCAGGAAAATAGCTTCTGTCCTTTGGGCACAAAGAACGTGACACCCAAGCTAACACACTCTCAGAGCTGCAGTTGGAGACACCTAGAAACAGTATTCAGTGTATGAAACAACGCTGATGCCAGCATATTAACTACAGACTGATGGGTGTTATCTTTGCATGAGATGTTGATCTTTCAGTGATGCACTCAACTTAAATATGCTGAACCGAATTATTTTTTTGCCATTTTTCTGACATTTTAGAGAACCGCCTAAAGACAGTAATGATGATACTACAATTGCAAACCGATTAAAAACCCATTGGGTACAATAGCTTTGTTGAAATCTGACTGTAAAATCTGACGTGCACCAAAATGCACCATCCTATGGTTAAACTATTTTGCAAGAGGCATACCATAGTGTTCTAAGCATATGCTCAATGTATGGGAGCTGCCAGTCTGGGTCACAAATAGAGTAAATTTACCTGATTTGCAGCTCCAAAAAGCCTCTTTCTTTATCCTACATTAATTTCCATGAAAACCTTAACTTCAGGACTATTCACACTCAGTCCACGTTCCATTTTGGTTCTTTTCATCTAATGTAATGTTCAACGCAGCTTGTGGGTGTTACTTTTTATACAGTTATATGGTCACAAAACAACCAGAAAGTTGCGCCTTTACAAAAAAATGTCAGAGACCACGTTAGCATACATTTACTGTCACTACATTAGCTGCTATTATAATGTAACTAAAAAAGCTTTATGTAAGGTTTTAACAAATGGAACAGCCTAACCCAAACTCTAACCCTAACCCAGGTTTTAGTAACTGTTGAGAAGTAAATCAATCTTGTACTGCTTGTTGTTTATGAAGGAGTCATCCAAGAAGCGGCGAGCATGAAACGCAACGTTGCAGCTGTCTCAAACAAAAAAAACTTCAAACTGTTTTTCTTATCTATGACAATACCTAAGACTGTTCTCCACAAACAAACAAACAAACAAACTCTTAGGGCACAACAAAGTGCAGAGCAAAGGAAACGACAAGTGGTGAAACAGACTTTCTAGCTGACAGATGGGTGTGTCTTTGACTGAGCATTATTGCGTGTGATCATAAGCGAAAATGGTGTGGCGTCAGTCCCCCAGCAATGTTGGTCTGCTAAAAAGAGGCAACAAACCTTTCATAACATTTGAAAATTTATTATTGGGTCAACTTGCTGAAAAGTCTCTTTGTTATATTTTAACTATTGGAAGTGTTTCTAAAGGGCACTATGGTAACATGTGATCTTCTCGAAGGGTATCCAGGGTATACTTTGTTTGTTTGTTTTTTTCAGATGAGGTTTTTAAAAGGGCAAAATGTTTTCATGTTGTTGTACTTGAAAAACATTAAGAGGGCACTTGATTCCTATTTACTTTCCTAACGGCACCATGTTTACATTTTATCTGCTTCAAGAACATCCAGAGGTTACTTCTCTTACACTTAATAAACTCAAAGGGCATCCATAGGGCACTCTGTTTACATTTTGTCCATAGAAGAGTTTTCAAAAAGGGATCTGTTTACATTTAATTCACATGAAGGGCATCCAGAGGGCAATTTGATTACATTTTATTTTCTTGGGGAGCTTCCAAGGGGCAATTATTTACATTCAATCTACTCAAAGGATGTTTGAAGAGCACTTAATTTACATTTTATAAACTATAAGGGCACCATAGAGGATTATGTTTACATTTAATCTACTCAAAGAACACTTGGAGGGTGCTTTATATACATTCAACCTAGTTTAGGGGTCTGTTGGGCATTCTGTTTACATCTAATCTACTAAATGAATGTTTAGAGGGCACCTGAGTTAAGTTACATTTTATCTTCTTCGAGGGCATCCACTGGGCATTATGTTGAAGTTTAAATTGCACTAAAATGGGCTTCTTATAATGGCATTTTATCATGTTTTAATGTTTTTCCTACAATGGCATCAGAGAGGGCACTTTTGCTGGTTTTTTTTTCAGAAGTCAGGGCACCCAACTGAGAACAAAAAGTAAATGAAGATATAATCACAGCCTCATTCAAGACTCCAGTCTTATAGTCAATGTTAAGCCAATTCTCACTTTAATTTCTAAGATGTCACTCAGTCGGTGCAACTTATTTTTTAAAATGTTTAAATATTTTCTGCATGCACCTTTTTACCTCTAAAAAAACAACCATGTAAAT